GTAAATAAGATTCGCTGTTTCCGTAAAGCTGATTTTCAAAAACTTAATAGCCTTATCGATACATTTGACTGGTCTGATATTCTGGCGTGCACTGATCTTAATGTCACTTTAGAAAAATTTTATTTTACTTTAAATATATTTTTTGACTCATGTGTGCCTTGGAAACATCCGTCCGCTTCAACAAATCCTCCTTGGTATACAAGGTCCCTCACTAACCTAAAAAATAAAAAAAATAAGCTTTTACTTAAATATAAAAAAACCTGCAGTAGTGTTGATTTCTCAAGATACCTACTAGCTCGGTCGAATTTTACCGTGCATAACGCTGAATGTTATAGGAACTATATTGACCGCTGCCGGATTCAATTTACTCAGGATCCAAAGCAGTTTTATAATTTTGTAAACACTAAGCGTAAACACGTATCTTTTTCACCTCTGCTTATGTTTGAAAATTCCTCTGCGACTTCGGATCAGGCCATTGCCGATCTATTCGCAGAATTTTTCAAACAACTTATTCTCCTCCTAAATTGACTGATCAGCCTTATGCATATAACATTCAAGCAGCAAATCTTATTTTCTGTCCGTCTTTTCTGAGAACAACTTATTATCTGGTCTTTTAAGGGTAAAACCCATTTATTCGCCAGGCCCCGACGGAGTACCAGGCTGTGTGCTAAAATACTGCGCCAGGGCTCTGTGCAAACCTCTTCTAAGACTTTTCAACTTATCTTTGGAAACCTCGATTTTTCCCCTTAAGTGGAAGGAATCATTTATAATTCCCCTACATAAAAAGGGGAAAAAGTCCGAGGCTGCCAACTACAGAGGCATCTCTAAGTTGTCGGCAATTCCAAAGTTATTTGAAAAATTAATTACCCCTCATTTGCAACACCTTTGCTCTTCGATCATCACTCCTTGTCAGCATGGCTTTATTAAGCGTCGCTCCACCACCACAAACTTATTGGAGTTGACATCCTTTGTCATAGACGGCTTTTGTAAGGGATATCAAACCGATGTAATTTACACAGACTTCAGCAAAGCATTTGATTCAGTTAATCACTCACTTTTGTTGAGTAAACTGAATATGCTGGGTTTTCCTAAAGACCTCTTAACGTGCATCTCCAGCTACCTAGATGGAAGGACACAAAGAGTCTTATTTAAAAACATACAGTCCCGTCTGGTCCGTGCTACATCCGGCGTCCCTCAAGGAAGTCATCTTGGCCCGTTATTATTTACGCTTTTTATAAACGACTTGCCCCCTGCTTTAACGAACTCTCTAGTTCTTATGTATGCAGATGATGTAAAGCTTTGTCTTCAGTATAAATCCATCTCTGCCCAATGCAGTCTTCAGTCTGACCTTGATAACTTTCAAAAATGGTGTTTGGCTAATGATCTAATACTTAATGGATCAAAATGCAAGCATATGTCTTTTTATCGTTCTTGCCCTCTGCAAGCTACGTATTCCATTAATGGGATTGCCTTAGAAAAATTAACCCAGGTTAATGATCTCGGCATCCTATTAGACATAAAACTTAAATTTGCCGACCATATTTCCTTAATGGTTAATAAGGCTAAAGGAGTCCTTGGTTTTATTAAAAGGTGGTCAAAAGAATTTAATGACCGCATAGAATAAGGACCGCATAGAATCCGTACAAAAGAACTTTTTAATATTTGCACTTAGAGGTCTATACTGGGATGCAAATCTTCAGCTTCCATCCTACAGTAGCAGACTTTTACTTATTAAGTTTTTGTGTAGTGGTGTAGTTTTGGTGTAGTTTTTCTGCATAACCTTATTAACGGGGATGTAGATAGCCAGCATTTACTAACACGCTTAAATTTCAACATTCCTAATAGAAGGACTCGAAACTTTAGTCCTCTGTTCCTTAGCCGTTGTAGTTCGACATATGCACTGCATGACCCTTTTAGGGTATTATGTTCGAACTACAATGGTCTCTACTCTATTACATCTCTTTCCTGTCCCTCTAATTTAAAATATAGAATTTTAAATTTCCTTACTAACTCCTCTTAGCTTAATAATTAACAAATAACTTAATATACTCTAACAAATCGTTTCTTGAGCGCCCCTCGGTCGTCTGGGCCTCTAAGCTTTATGATGAATACTGGAATGCTAGCTGATGCTCTTATTGATGCACAAGCCATTTCGAAATTCTGAAAGACCGCGAAAAAAAAAAAAAAAAAAAAATATATATGTTACCCTATAGGGGTAATAAATATATATTTCTTAAATTAATACCTTTCAGTAATAATTTCTTTTTCTGTAAAAAATTTATGAAGTTACATTTTTCTAATTTCTCTGTATTCAAAAAAAAATCTCTTGACATTTGAAAAGTTGGATTCATCCGTTTGCATTCTAACGCTATTACGTCGCCTTTCGTCGTTTTAATGTTGTGCGACCAAGTCGGAAACACTCTCTAACCGAATTCGCTACTTAGGCAATTAATTTTGCATAGAATTGATCTTAATTAATTTTTTTTGGCATTCATGTAGATGTCTAAAACAAACAAAAATACACAAACAGGAAGACAAACTAGATAACTATTCCAAACTGATAGACTTATGGTAAATGTTTTAACAAAAATTATCTAATTAAAGCAATACTCGATTGGTACATCATTAATTCAGATCACGCCCGCACCAAATTTTGATAAATTTTGTCTCTGAAGTGTACGGCGAAAACTGTGATTGATGGAACGACGGTTTTCAGTACTCGAAAAGCTCGATTGGCTTTTATTAATATAAAATGCACTATTTTAGTGCACAGTCAACTTTTGAATTAAAGACAAATTCAAGAAAATACTTTGTTTTTTTCGCTTAGTGAATGCTCTCATTTTTTTTCTGCTTACGCACACACTCAAAATTTAAACATGTGTGCGTTTCGCCCTCTATTGAGCTAGTGAGCTGAAGAAAGCAGGTCGTTGAAGAAAAACGAAGTCCATCCAATTTACAAGCCGCAATATCTTTTGTATCAAAGAATCACTGTGGAAGAATCACACATAAACGCAATGGTCCAGAGCAATGCACTAACTGCCAAGAGTATAGACTGCACAATTCGGGCTGTGAGGTCTGCGGGGACACCCACAACTCCGCTCACTGCACTAGAAACAAAGAAGACATTACCGTGAAATGTGGAAACTGCGGAGGGAACCATACGGCAAACTATAAAGAATGTGTGGTATACAAGGACCTGCATGCGACAAGCAATAGAAAAGCACAACCAAAATCCACAGAATGGAATAACAGGAATAACATCCAAAATTTGTTCAGCCTTAGAACATCGAGAATACTTACTGTAGCACTATATGTCATGACATACTCAACTTACATAAGTAGCTTTCACAAGCTACTTGAGTATAGAGGTCGTTAGATTCTTCCGTCCATTTTTAAATAAAACCAAGAACACCCATAGATAAAAGAAGAGGGGCCTGGTGAGGGCTTGAACGTGAGGGCTTTTTATCTATCTAGTAATAAAACATTAGATTAAAGATAGTTCTGAAAATTATCGAGACCGAAAAGAAGTCTACATTGGGCAGAATAGGATTTTTATAGACCACAAGGCTTAACATCGTCTGCGTTTACAAGTGCCAACGAGTTCGTCCGTACTCGGTCATTTTTTTGAGTTTTTTTTTTTTTGGCGATTCAGATCAAATTTGTTTTTTTCATGTGATAGGGCAACACATGGACTTAGAAATCTTCTGAGATACAGGCAATGTCCGGAGGCGCTTCGAGAAAAAAATTTTTGCGGTGTAAACGATAACTGGTCACAGATCATCCGAAATTTAAAAAAAATTGCATTAGTTAAAGGAAAACCTTTCTCGGGTAATGCTGTCGAGTTTTAATTTTTTTTCGATTTTGAAAGTCAAAAAACCAAATTTTCGCCCAAAATTTCGAGATATTTGTTGCTCTAAAAATAATAAATTTTCATAAAGTAAAAACTCGACAGCATTACCTGAGGAATTAAGGAGCAAAATACTGTGCAAAATATCTTAACGATCCGTCCAATAGATGTTGCAGGATCGTGTCCACCGATTTCGAAAATTCTAACTTTTTAGGAGACCGTTTTATATTTTTCTGCACTCGGAAATCGAATATAAAAACGAACGTCGGCTAGCGTTCAACTGCGCATAATTTCGGAAGTTTCACTCGGATCGATTGGGTCGATCTTTTGCATTCAACTAAGAAAAAAAAAAAAAATACGATGAAAAACAAAAAATCAATATCACCATGGTGTGTTCGTCTCGAAAGCATCCACCGGGACCGGGGCATTCTCGCAGTGAAAGACAAAATCAAAAAGCAAAAAGGGTCCTACAAAAAAAACTGTCTTCGCACCCGGGATTAATGGTGGTGGGGTTGGTGGATCAGCTAAATGTGCGGTGCAATATACAGGGAACACAACATTCAAAGAGACGAGTAATTGAACAGTTGCAAGCATTTTTTTCACGCTTATAACTCTGTGGTTAATATGTTCAAAACAGCATTGGAACGAATGCTATCGGATACGCACAAATTCGTCATAAGAGCGGATTGTACCCCAACAGGTAAACATTTGCGAAGATTCAATGCACCCACTGTTAATGATGTTGCTGCAAATTTTGTTGGCGATTCAACTAAGTCGCGAGACATTGTCGTTCAACGGAGAAGCAATATCATGCATCGTGTAAACGAGACACATCGTTTGTACGGTGCAAACGAAAAAAAAATATGTATATTTTAATTACTAAAAATATATTTTGTTTTTTTTTGAATATCAAAACGAAATGTTACATAAAACGAAACATCTGGTGGCGAAACAGAGTTCCGGGCTTGCGAGTTGACTATAAATATTTCAAAAAAACTACCATATATAATATAATAAATTTTAATTTAATATAAATTTGTTCAACAAAATTAAAAATTATTTTTCTTCTGAAATTACTAAAATAAATAAATTTCTTCTGAAAATTCAAAAAATTACCTAGTTTTCTGAAAACTAACTAAAATATATTTTATATACGGAGGTAAGATATTTAAGTAGCTCTCACTCGGTCACACTATGTTTTAAAACGCGTTTGTGTGGGTATTCATGCAAAAACAATACATAAAGTTTCATTCAATCGAAAGAAATTGGCAAATTTTCAGTACTATCTTCATCAGTTAAATTAAGATTTTGTGATTTTATGTGAATTCTAAAAGGCATGTATTAAAAAAAAACAAAGTGAGAAGCTAACTAAGGGCAGCGTAGTTTTAAAAATCTTCAAATCTACACAATTGAATTGGATAGTTATGTATGCTCACATTAGACTGCACATGTATTCGCATTTTTACAAAAAAGGTGTGTTGTTCGGTTTGCTTTGTGTATCACGCATCGGAAAACGAGAGTTGCCACGTTCATTAATTTTTATATAATGACGTAGAATTTTTCTTAGAGCGATAATTTTTGGGTGAAATCGCCAAACTTTTGTCAATGAAATTAACTTACATAAATAGTTCTTTGGTTGTAACTTGAATTTACATATAATAAAAAAAACATATAAATCAAGAACTTTTAGACGAGGTGGCAACATTATTAATAAAATGTATGTATCTGTACGTATTTGAATACATTCGTAATTCGCAGTCGTCCCTTTGATTACATGTGAACCGGAAATTTTAATTTCCTATATCTAATTAAAAATTTGTAAGAAAAATATACACCATTTTATATACAAATAAAAAAATATTCAAATATCAAAAATACTTGAACGCATTTATATGTATATAAATCCGTACCTTTGCATTAATATAGACTGTGAACTATTCAAAATAGGTTGGCTATGCATATTTATACATACATATGTACATATATGAGAGTGGGAGCACCAATAACATATATATTTACGTTTGTATGATTTTTCGGAGGTACATAAATATATATGTACGAAGAGAAACTTTCAAACTTATGACAATTTTGACTCCGTTTTTTGGTATAAAAAAAGTTACAAACTATTAATGTTAGTATAAAAAAAAAGTTGTGCCATTTTATATCTTATTTTTTATATCTCTGAAACTTGTTGTCTACATCATTGAAGTATGTGGATGTATTTATGTATGTACATATACTAAAATGTACAAACAGGATAAGTGTCGTTATTGAACCATGAAAACTTTTTTTTTATGTACATATAAGGACTTAATAAGACTAACTTTAAGTATATACATATATATAAATATTGTTGATTAAACTAATAAAATACCCAATACCCCAAATGTAAAATAAAGTGATTGCGTCAATAAGAACCGATTTCCATTTCATAGGGTTGTCAAATAAGATCGATCCATTTTATGTACATATGTATCGACATACACACATAAATTATTTTTTTCTAATTGCTTTACATATGTACATGCATGTATATGTAGTATGTAAAAAGAATGAAACCTATTAGTATACATTTTTTTTTTAAATCTGCAATGTTATGCAGTGTTGAACAAATTCGGTAAACAAAAATAGAAAATTTTCTTAAATCTAAGCACGTATTAAAAATATCCTTATTAATTAACCGCTGCAGTTAAAGGAAAATAAATATTGTCTTATTTTTTAAAACTATTACCAACTAATTTATACGATTTGAAAAATCAAATCAAATTTTGTACATATATATATACATATATATAATTATATATATATATATATATCTGCACCCATATACCATTTTTTTATACATCACATGATTAGAGCTTCCAGGACATTCGAAACACTTTTCGAAGACAAATGATTTGCATTGGTTTGCTTCTGAGATTGATCTTTCTCGATTTTTCGCACGCAGAACGGATTAGGTTGGAACGGCCACGATCGACCGTTTATATCCCCTATAGTTGGCATATAACCAAAATATCGGAGATGGCTTAACTTTCGTGTTTTGAAGATAAAAGGATGAAACTTTCTACAGATTCTATATTTTGCCAATGGATCCTACCTACTAAATTTCATAAGGATAGGGCGTCTATATCCTATAGCTGAAATATAAAAAGGATTGGAAATGAGATTTGGTAAAAATACCTACTTTGGTATTTTTAAAGACATAGCACTTTTTTAAATGTATCTTAATAAATGGGTTTATAATAATAAAAATAACTACCCTTGCAGTTAGAACCGGATGTACATCCCGAAATTCGGATAAAATCCTTATGGGATTATTATTGAATCCATAGTATAACCAGTTTATTACAATACAAAATCTAAAAAAAAAACTCTCAAGCTTTTTTCTTCAAAAATACTGAAGTTGGAATTTTTACGAAATAGCATTTCCAATCGTTCAGTTATATGGGAACTATAAGATGTAGTCGGCCGATCGTTATGAAATTTGGTGCATCGGATTAACTGACTGAAAATAGAATATTTACGAAGTTCCAGCTTCCATCTTCAAAAACAAATTTGGGTAATTTCCGATTGTTCATTAATATGGCAGCTATAGGAGTATAAGCGCACCCGTTTTTTCGCAGACCCGACTCTCTGTTCTAACATGATTGATTTCTTTTGGACATTTTAAAATGACCAACAGTTTTTTGCAAGCTTTGATAATAACACCAAAATTAGAAAGGTGTGTGCGAAATATTTTTACTTCAAATTTTTTTAGAAGTTCTCTCATTTGCTCACATCTGACTAATTTGACAGTCGAAACATAAAAATCAAAATGAAATTAGGTTGGAAAAAGTTTTCTCCATAGAATTATTTTTTCATTTGTTTAAGAACTTTTGCTAGCAAAGCTTTCTTAAAAATAAAATAAGCTATTGGAATGGGCACTAACATTCCAATTTTTGAATTAACAAAAAATGAAATAAAAAGGAGGAGGTTATCCTGATCAAGAATGTGTATATACTTTATAGGGTCCGATATTTCTCCTTTAAAATCGCACTTAGATCCTGAATACCTTAAAATAATTACAAACTTTTGTAAAAAAGTTAAATTTTTTGGTTCAACGTTTTTATACCCTTGACGAGGATATTATAATTTTGGTCAAAAGTGTGTAACGCAGTGACGGAGACATCTCCGACCCTATAAAGTATATATATTCTTGATCAGGATCACCTCCTAAGTTGATACGTGCATGTCTGTCGGTCCATCTATCTTTCTGTTTCTTCGCAAACTAGTCTCTCAATTTTAAAGCTATCGACTTGAACCTTTGCACACACCCTTCTATCCTTTGCACGCAGTATATAAGACCGGGATCGGCCGACTATATCCTATAGCTGCCATATAACTGAACGATCGGAAATGACCCAACTTTCGTGTTTTTGAAGATAGAAAGCTTGGAACTTGGCACAGATTATATTTTTTGTCAGTTAATCCGACCTACCAAATTCCATAACGATCGGCCGAGTATACACTGCGTTTCACTTGAATAGCACACTTTACATAGGGAATTTCAAATCGAAATCTTTTAAACAAAAAGAAAACTCGTTAATGTTTTGTTTCTATTTATAGAGTAATCAATTAATTAATTTAATTATAAGAAAAGTAACAAAACTTAAATTAATAAACAATTAATAAAAGTTAACAAAAAAACTTAAAAAACTTCAAAAATTCCACAACAATTTTGTTTCACTTGAATAGCACATTTTAGATTTAGTGTAATTTCAGCAGCCAAGAAGATTGATTCATAAAATGTTTTAGATTAATTTGTGAATTTCAAACATAGTTTAATAATTTTGTGCAATTATGGGTCGTTGAACGTCACTGAGTCACAAGTATATTGATTGTGACCTTTCTGTGGCTAATATAGCGAAAAAAATTGGAAGAAGCAGAAAAGTCGTACACAGTTTTATAAACAACAAGCAAAACTATGGAAAAAATATGAAAGGTTTGCCAAAGTAGTGTCCTTAGAGACACAGTAAGCGTGCAATTCTGCGGGAAGCCTCAAATTCTCATGACTCTGTGATCAAGATAAGGGCAAAAGCAGGTGTTGACGCGAGCAAAACTACTGTTTGGCGAGTTGTTTTCAAAGTTAAACATCTTAAACGCTTGAAACTTAAAAAAAAAACCACCGCTTATCCCCAAACGAAGTGGAGGCGCGTAGTTTTTTCTGATGAAAAAAAGTTCAATTTGGAGGGGCCAGATGGCTATAATTATTATTTTCATGATCTGAGGAAAGAGACGCATCAATTAGTGCGTTTACACCAGTGGTGCCCAAAACTGCGTTACGGCAGAGCATGAAACAATACATATGAACGAAATCACACGCACACATAGAACGAAAAAGTCGGTGTGTTTCAAGAAGTTCACTGAGAGAAAATAAATGTGTAGTTTTTTTTTATTAAAGTTATTATATTATTAATAGGTAGCTTTAAAAAAAAAAATAATAGGTATTAAATAAAAAAAATAGGACAAAAAAAAATTAATAATAAAAAAAAAAAAATTATAATAATAAAAAATAATTTATTCTTGTTTAAAAATTAAACTTAATTTAAAAATAATAATAAAAAATAATTAATTCTTGTTTAAAAATTAAACTTAATTTAAAAACTCATCAATATTTATATTAATTCTAGTTGTAGATAATTTTAAAAGGGCCTCCAAATTGCTATTAGTTAATCGGTTTCTATGATTATTCTTTATTAACTTAAGAGTGGAAAATGCGCTTTCACAAACATACGTACTCCCAAACATAGAATACAGTCGCAATATGTTACTACGCAGAGAGGTGTATTTTTTGACACCTTCACATTTCCAAAAATCAGGCCCTGTTAAATTGCATGCCCTTAGTTCATAATCGGATTGCATATCACACAACTCCAATTGAAACGCAGGATTTTGATCTAGTATTTTGCAATTCATGGGGTTATAAAAAATATCCATACTATTTTTAATATCATCAAAGTCCATAAAACGTTTTTCAAAATTAAGTTTTAAAAAATTAATATGGTTATTAAATTCAGTAAAATCATAAGAAATAATATTAAATTCGTCAAAAACTAATTTTAATCAAGGAAAACTACTTAACTTATTGGGTTGTAAATCAAATAAAAATACATCGATTTTTTTCAAAAACACTTCAATGGAACCCATTAACTGAAAAATATGCCTATTTTGACCTTGAAGGTTGGAGTTCAAATTGTTAAGGTGAGAAGTTAAGTCTGTTAAAAATCCAAGACTGATGTTGAAGTATTGTGATTTTATTTCGCTTAAAAATTCGAAGCTTGGCATGTTCTGTTCCAAGAACTCAACCAACTCCTTTCTAAGCTCAAAAAAGCGCTTAAGGCATTTTCCACGACTTAGCCATCTCACCTCCGTGAACAAAAGCAGGTCCTTATATTGGGTCTCGCACTCTTCAAGAAATAATTTAAGTTTACGGTGGTTTAATGAATTGTGTCCACCACGCAACTTATTAATAATTTTAATAGCCACATTCATAGTGTGTATGTTACTTGTCCATTTGCAGCACAAGGACTCCTGATGAATGGCACAATGAAAAGATGGTACCTTTATGTCATTTTTAACCAATTGCCCTATAAATCCATTGTTTTTTCCCAACATAGCAGGAGCACCATCTGTGCATACGGATGCTAATTTTTTTATTTCTTTGGCTAACGGTAATTTTTCTGATACCGCATTATAAATATCAATTCCACGTGTATTTTCTAGAAGTGGAATTAGTCCAAAAATTTCTTCAGTAATATTGAAGTTATCGTCGACCATTCGGGTTGCTAATATTAATTGACTGATATCGCAATTGTCGCAAGACTCATCTAACGCAATAGAAAAACAAGAAAGGAAAGCTAACTTCTGACGGAGCCGAAGTTTATATACCCTTGCAGTTAAAACCGGATATATATCGCAAACATCGATATAGTTGGCCGATCCTTATGATTATGATTTATCATAATAAAACCAATTAATTACAATAAAAAATCTAAAAAAAAAGTCCCAAGCTTCTATCTTCAAAAATACGAAAGTTCATACAAGGTGTGTGTCAAAAGTTTCCGAACTTTTCAAAAACGGCATTTTCTGGTGCCGCCATTTTTGTGTGAGTATATGCGTTTGAAAGATACATTATTCACCGATTTTCCCTCCAAATTTCAAGACATTTGGAGCAGTGGAATTGGAATTATTGCGTTTTAAGTGACAGTACCTTGTGTTAGTTGGTCGACGAAAAATCTTGGAGCAAAGAGCGGTTATTAAGTTTTGTTTTAAACTCGGTAAAACTTTCACCGAGACTCATAAATTGATGAAACAAGTTTATGGTGATGATTGTCTATCCCGTACCTCAACTTAAGAGTGGTTTAATCGTTTTAAAAATGGTCGTGAAAGCCTGGAAGACGACGAACGTTCGGGGCGTCCGAAAAGTGCTGTTATTGATGAAAACATTCAAATTGTTCGTGATTTTGTCAAAAAGAACCAAAATCTTCGTTGAGATACATGGAAATGGAGTTGGAGATATCCTATAAGTCTTTTCATCGCATTTTGATTGAGCATTTGGGTATGCGGAAGGATTGTGCGCGGTTTGTTCCACACACACTCAAAGAGCACGAAAAGGCGCTTCGCATTCAGCATTCGAATCACATTCAAATCACATTCTTACCGTCAACCACTCACCATATTCACCTGATTTAGCTCCGTGTGACTTTTTCCTATTCGGAAAATTAAAAATGGCAATGAAAGGAAGATATTTTGATGTCACGAAGTCCATTGAAAAGACCGACATACTTAAGGCCATCCCGGTTGACGAGCTAAAACACTCATTCGAATCACTTTTAAATCGTGCAAATCGTTGTATTGAGTCGGAGGGAGACTATTTTGAATAAATGCAAAGTTTCATTCCAAACTATTTTGTAGTTTTTTTTCTTTTTGAAAAGTTCGGAAACTTTTGACACACACCTTGTAATTCTACCAAATACCATTTCCGATCGTTCAGTTATATGGCAGCTATAGGATATAGTCGGCCGATCCTAATGAAATTTCGTAGGTCGGATGAACTGACCAAAAATATAATCTGTACCAAATTCCAGCTTTCTATCTTCAAAAACACGAAAGTTGGGTCATTTCCGATCGTTCAGTTATATGGCAGCTATAAGATATAGTCGGCCGATCCTAATGAAATTTGGCATGTCGTAATTTGTTGCCAAAAATAGCCCTCATGTCAAATTTGAAGTCTCTAACTCTAAAAACAACAAAGTTATACCATTTCCGATCAATCAGTTATATGGCAGCTATAGGATATAGTCGGCCGATCCCGGCCGATCCGACTTATATACTGCGTGCAAAGGAAAGAAGGGTGTGTGCAAAGTTTCAAGACGATAGCTTCAAAACTGAGAGACTAGTTCGCGTAGAAACGGACAGACAGACAGACGGACAGACGGACATGCTCATATCAACTCAGGAGGTGATCCTGATCAAGAATATATATACTTTATAGGGTCAGAGATGTCTCCTTCACTGCGTTGCACACTTTTGGACAAAATTATAATACCCTCTGCAAGGGTATAATAAGAACACGACTTTAACTTTTCCCTTAAGAAAGAATTTAAATATGTGTTTAAATTTTCAACTCTACGTGTTACAGTAGCTCTGGACAATGACACGGTATCGATTATTTTGGCTGTCTGATCACCAATTTCCCCAAAACAACCTAACATTTCTAGGCATACCTTTTTAATAAAAGGGCCATCGCAAAAGGGCTTACAATGTTTGGCAATGGCTAAGCTGGCTACATACGATGCTTTTATTGGCGCTTTACTATTCATGTCCTCAGTTAAAATAATTTTTTGTTGCTGCATGGATATTTCTTCAACATTATTTTCTATATGTCGAAGTATTTCTTCTGCATCATCGCTGTAAAATTTTTAAATAATGGCTTTGTGGTCTGGAATCAATCCATTCACGACATCCGCCCTATGGCATAATCGGAAATGTCGCTCAAAATTGTATTTCCTATCCCCAATCAAAACCTTTTTGCAAATTACGCATTGCAATTCGCATTTAAAATTTTGTGCAAAGAAAATGGTCTCAAAATTCTCAGTCATTTTTCCGATCAAAATAAGCATCAACCGCTCGCCTCGCTTGCTCGCTAATAAGTGCAGTCCAGCTAAATCTCAGTGCACTATGGGGTTTTTGACCACTTTATGTGGCATTTAATCATTTTTTGAAAGTTCTCTGATTTAAAAAAAATTAATGGGAATGTATTAAGAAAACATCAAACTATTATGCCTCATACTCAAAATATTAATTATTAGCACCATATGCTAGCATAACAGCTGCAAAGTCAGCTGTTGTATCCGAAAGCACGTGCGCTAAGTTTGCAATTTTCACATAGTGATTTGTGAAATCAGATTATTTGTTTAAAACTCCATTTAAAAAGAAAAATAGTAATGGACACTGATTTCACAGGTTTGTACTACATGTTAAATGTATTATCTGTTTAAATTGTGCGTGTCTATACTAAAATTTTGTCATTTTATAGATGCACCTTAAGCTGTATTTTGGGAAACAAGTTTAAACTTAGGGAAGAGTTTTGAAATAGAAGGAATAAAAAGTTTTCAATGCGTCCAAGTATATGTTGTAGCGTTGTCAATACTGAGCAAAGGCTGTTAGTCTTATTGTGCACTTTTCTCCACTATTGGTGCAATTTGAATTTTTCTTAGATAACCTCACTTTCTCCAAAAGAAAGTCGCTGCTTGGAACAGCGAAAGGGGCCGGGCTGAGCATCAAATGGCTGTACAATGTATTTTTTTAACGCCATGCAAATAACAATGTGGATAATGCCGTTTTGAAAAAAAAAGCCACCAGTTTTTAATGGAAGTAATGGAAAATACGGTGCTTTCAGTCGGCTATTTTGGAGAAGAAGCGTCTGAGTCCTGAAACAAGCTGTATAAATCAGACAGGCGTCACCATTCAAGAAAACACTACCGATTACATTCCATCGCTGATGTGTTCAACAGAGCTATGGATACATCAGATCCAATTATTTCATCCTTAATTTATCGAGATGCATAAAAAACTAAAGAGTCTTTTACTTCCAATTGAGGTAATTGAGATGCTTTCGTCCGAATACGAAAATAATGTTTGTCTCGAAGATGACGAATTTAACGATTCCAGTTTTTTTTTTTTTTGATAATATTGATATAGAAAATTAAAAAAAAGAATAATAAGATTAGTACTACTGTATGAAGGAATTTTTCTTTTTCAACTTTTATATGCATTTATATGGAAGAACACTGAAATCCGGTATTTTAAACTGACCGTTTTCAGGGAAAGCGTTGTCCGATTTGGTTCAAAATTGCTATATCGTATTAAAATAGCAACAAATATCAGCTCCTTAAATTTCATTAATTTATCTTTACTTTTACCAAATCGTTCCTATGGGAGCTATAGGATATAGTTTCCTGATCCGAACAATTTTCATACTATATGTGCGTAGGATCAAATAATAGAGATTGGTAAAGTTTCATGTCGATATCTCCAAAACTGACCGAGTTATTAATTAATGCCACAAAAACAGGTCAAAAACCCCTTAGTGCAGTGTAGGCAAGAGACCTGCCTCGTGAGAAGGCAATATCTCCATCTCTTTAGCACACACATAAGAAGTATCGGAACTCCAACAACAAAATTCATTCGGATTAGTACGATTGAGGAGAATAGGGAAAACACGAAAAATTGAATTGCCCTTTGCTTATGCTGGGACCAACGATGCTTATGGCGTGAGCAACGAGTCTTATGGCGTGAGCAGTCGCACACAACTCGGTATGCATGAGCATTTGCAAAAACAAATGAGCAGCGAGAGCAATGGGATGAGCACCACTGGTTTACACAGTCGAGTAGGCGGAGTTATGGTTTGGGGAGCCATATCTTACTATGGGACTTGCGAACTCCAATTATTATCCTCAAACATGAACGCAAAAGCGTATCTAAACGTCCTCGAAAAAGCTTTTCCACCATTGGAAAATTTTTCCAATCATTTGCTTTGGACATTCCAGCTCGACAATGCCCCAATACATACTGCACGTGTTGTAAAATCTTTTTTAAAAGATAAAAATGTTGAAACTCTGAACTGGCCACCATACTCGCCGGATCTGAATATAATTAAAAATGTTTGGGGATGGCTGGTCAGAAAGGTTTATGAGTCTTGCAAACAATTTTCAACAAAAGACGAACTAATTGACGCCATTCAGAAGGCCTGGGCTACAATATCCCTAGACTACATTAAATATGATTCGCTGCCCAACAGGATCTACGAGGTTATATTGAATAAGGGGGGCTCGACCCATTATTAAATTAACATATATATTTACATTAATACTTACTATTGAATAAAAACACATTTCCTAATACTTAAGTTCATTAAATATACTTTTACAAAAAAAGTGCTATTCATGTGAAACAAAATTGTTGTGGAATTTTTGAAGTTTTTTGTTAACCTTTATTAAGGGGAGGTTCTTTTGGATTTTTTTGAAAAAGTCGATTTTTTTTTTTTTAAATAAAATGAAAGTTAAATATGTGTAGAATATACGTGCCAAGGGATATTTCGATGCGACGCGTATTTCTTGAGCTAGAGCGTTTCAAACATACCAATTATAACAAGAAAGCTATCTAAAGGCAAAGTTTCTAAAAACTTTAAACGCGTTTTTCTCGGAACCATGTTTTTAAACCTCTTGTCGCGCACAGGGCTCGTTCTATTGATCCGATTTCCTTCATTCAAAAAATGTTTAAAAGTACATACTTTTTTGTATGCCTTATACCTAAAATTGGCATAACAAATTGTTTATTTATAATTTTTAAACGAGATCAACGTAAAAAAAACGAGAAAAAAATGTCAATTTTTTTTTAAACAGTTTATTGGTTTATTTTTACCAAAATTAATTGTGGTTAGGTATAAGGCATAGGAAATTCTATCAATTTTAATAAATTATATACATTTCTAATTTAAGTTCACTACCAGCGGCCCTACACTCGACAAAGCAGAAAAATAGAGGTCTACGAGATCCGCCATTTTGAAGCCGCCATTTTGAATTTCCTGAATATTGAATATTTTTTTTAATCGTTAATAAACAACGAATCAAAAGTTCAAAAGCATAAGTTCGTATGTCTTTTCATTTTCCCGCAATTCATTTTCAAAGTTTGCCTTATTTTCGGAAAAATCCAAAAGAACCTCCCCTTAATTGTTAATTTAATTTAAGTTTTGTTACTTTTCTTATAATTAAAATTGATTACTCTATAAATAGAAACAAAAACATCAACGAGTTTTCTTTTTGTTTAAAAGATTTCGAGATTTGAAATTCCCTATGTAAAGTGTGCTATTCAAGTGAAACGCAGTGTATCTTAAAAGCTCCCATATAACTGAACGATTGGAAATAGTTTTTGGTAGAAATACCAACTTTGGTATTTTTGAAGAATGAAGTTTGGGACTTTTTTTTAGATTTTTTATTATAATAAATTGGGGTATATTATCATATTCCCATAAGGATCGGCCAACTTTATTCTATGTTTGCGATATATATCCGCTTTTAACTGCAAGGGTATATCAACTTCGGCTCCACCCAAAATTAACTTTCCTTTCTTGTTCCATATAGGATAGACCGATAAATTCCAAACCTATCTTATATAATTGAACTTGAGTGTTCTTGAAGATACGACGACAAGATAATACGTCTTAAGGATATACGACATGCCAAATTTTATAAGGATCGGCCGATTATATCCTATAGCTGCCATATAACTGAACGATCGGAAATGATCCAACTTTAGTGTTTTTGAAGATAGAAAGCTGGAACTAACAGATTCCATTTTTAGTTAGTTAATCCGACCTTCCAAATTTCATAACGATCGGCCGACTATATGTTATAGCTGTCATATAACTGAAAGCTCGAAAGTGGTATTTGGTAGAAATACCAACTTTTGTGTTCTTGAAGATAGAAGTTTGGGACTTTTTTTAATATATTTTATTGTAATAAATTGGTTATATTATAATATTATCATAAGGATCGACCAACTATATCCGATTTTGGCGATATATATCCGGTTTTAACTGCAAGGGTATATTAACTTCGGCTTCGCCCGAATCTATTTTTCTTTCTTGTTTTATATTTATATCATTCATGATAACGAATAAAAAAATCTGTAAAAAAGATAAATGTTTTTTTTTCAAAATTTTTAAATAAAATAAAATGTAATATATTAGCTTCATTAATATTTTTCCAATTTAAACAGAACTTCAAAATCGTCGAAAAGGAATAAAACAACATCTTTCTCCTGAAAGTATCATTGAAATTAATTAAAATTGCTATTGTTTACAATAATGAAGATCCACTGGAATTTGATTCGGGATTAGTCGCGTATACTAGAATTGAAGCTGAGGATTACTTGCAGTATTTAAATACCATGCGCGAAGCACTTTTTTCCCAGGATGGCTGGGGCTGCCAGCACGTCAACCAGGATACAAACTGGGAGGTCCCTAGCTCCCCAGAGCCAACTAACAAAGATTCAGCAGCACCACCTTTATGGAAACCAAGCATTAATAATGGCACTGATCTTTGGGAATCTAATTTAAGAAACGGTGGTCAGCCTACAGCTCAGCAAGTTCCCAAACCGTCTTGGGGTCATACCCCATCCTCTAATCTAGGTGGCACGTGGGGAGAAGATGATGATAATACCGACGCGAGTAGTGTATGGACAGGTGGATCAGTTAGCAATTCAGGATCTGGTGCTGCAGTGGGCGTAAACCAAAGCGCAGTAAATGTTGGTCCGGGAGGAATCGTTGCATCCACAGGACCCCAGTGGACTCAAGGAGTTGTTGGACTTGGAACTTCAGGTAACAATATGTTAAATCGAAAATAGATTGTATTAATTTTTACATCCTTGCAAAAGGTATTATAATTTTGTCCAAAAGTATGCAACGCAGTGAAGGGGACATCTCCGACCCTTTAAAGTATATATATTCTTGATCAGGATCACCTCCTGAGTTGATATGAGCATGTCCATCTGTCCGTCTGTCTGTTTCTACGCAAACTAGTCTCTCAGTTTTAAAGCTATCGTCTTGAAACTTTGCCCACACCCTTCTATCCTTTGCATGCAGTAGGAACGACCGGGATCGGCCGACTATATCCTATAGCTGCCATATAACTGATTGATCGGAAATGGTATAACACGAGAGCTATTTTTGGCAAAACATTACGACATGCCAAATTTCATAAGGATCGGCCGACTATATCTTATAGCTGCCATATAACTGAACGATCGAAAATGACCCAACTTTCGTGTTTTTGAAGATAGAAAGCTGAAACTTAGTACAGATTCTATTTTTGGTCAGTTGATCCAACCTACCAAGTTGATCCAACCTTCATTAGGATCGGCCGACTATATCCTAAGGCTGCCATATAACTGAACGATCGGAAATGGTATTTGGTAGAAAATCAACTTTCGTATTTATGAAGATAGAAGTTTGGGACCTTTTTTTTTTAGATTTTTTATTGTAATTAATTGGTTTTATTATGATATTCTCATTAGGATCGGCCAACTATATCCAATGTTTGTGATGTATATCCGGTTTTAACTGCAAGGGTATATCAACTTCGGCTCCGCCCAAAGTTAGCTTTCCTTTCTTGTTTTTTAAAAGGATGACCTCCTGAGTTGATATAAACATGTCCGTCTGTCTGTCTGTCTATGACAACTGGTATGGAAAAACCCATTACTTCGGCGGTTTTAAAATTAAAGAATTGAACATTTGTACATATATTGATATTGATTACACATATTGATATAAACATGTCCGTCTGTCTGTCTGTCTATGACAACTGGGATGGAAAAACCCATTACTTCGGCGGTTTTAAAATTAAAGAATTGAACATTTGTACATATATTTTTTCCCAATTGATCTGACTTTCAAAATTTTATGAAAAATTTGTTTAAGGATCGGCCGACTATACCCATAAAAAAGTATTAAAAAAATACCAACTTTGGTATTTGGATAGTGACTTTTTTTAAATTTTGATGTTAATAAAATTGTTTTATTATGAAATTCGAAATAGGATCGGCCCAGTATATTCTTTATTATACCCTTGCAGAGGGTGTTATAATTTTGTCTAAAAGTGTGCAACGCAGTGAAGGAGACATCCCCGACTGAACGATCGAAAATGGTTTTTGGTCGAAATACCAACTTTGGTATTTTTGAAGATAGAAGCTTGGGATTTTTTTTTTTAGGTTTTTATTGTAATTAATTGGTTTTATTATGGTATTCTCATAAGGATCGGCCAACTATATCCGATGTTTGCGATATATATCCGGTATATGCAAGGGTATATCAACTTCGGCTCTGCCCGAAGTAGCTATCCTTTCTTGTTTTTGATATGAAGGGTAATATTTTTAGATGTATAGAAATATAAATTTGAGTTAAACAACAATGGATTATTCGATTGACATGAATTTTTTTTATTCGAAAGATAATCTTGTGGCATTACATTTTAAATATGATTTCTGGCATATGACCGCCACGACTGGCTCGGATGTAGTCCAATTTGAATTTAAATTTTCGTCCAATTTTCGATGACTTACCAACATTTTTGGCCGTATATCGGAAATAACATGGCGAATGTTGCCTTCCAGGTCACCAAACGTGTCTTTCAATAAATCTATTGTTTTGGGTCCATTCGACGCATCTACGCCTTGCTCTTTGATCGTTTGGCTTCAATTCTTGCACGAGTGGAATTTTGTAAGCATGCAAATCAAGATCCTTTCGAAAAATCTTCCATAAAGTCTTCATCAATGCTACGCTGTACAGTAGAATTAGCTTCGGGTCTAATCGGGTCTTAGATCCATTCGGGTCTTCCTCAATGCTACATTAGCATTAGTTCGCATTAGTAGCATTAGCTTCTTCTGTACGCACTGAAAGGCATCTCTGGGGATGCAAGTTATCAATAAGAGTAAACGTTATCGTAAAGATGCCAGTTATCAATAAGAGTAAGCAGTAATCGAACTAACTGCTCTGATGGACGATTTTGTCGACGATGAAATGGACGTAGTGCGCGATACGTATTCCGCACACAACCATTATTTTCGAAATGAAATCGCACTATTTGGAAGCGTTGTTCAGGCGTAAGTCTATTCATGATGAATTGCCAAACCAAACTGAAAATAAATCACGGTGGCCATCTTGAACAGTAATGCCCACTTAAAGTTTTGTACCTCCAAAAAACACACTTTGTAACACAGCTACACAAAAAAAAACCCGAGAGGACGGGTATAGTCAAGTTAACCGACTATATTATACACGGCACTCATTTCTTCTACCTACAATTTAACTTTTTTTTTTTTTTTTATTTTAACGTTGCTTTTATTTCTTGAATCTTCTCTTTGCGAGACTAACAAGAGGTGTATCAAATCTTATATTTTTAACTTAACTAACAGTCATATTGACTGATACGGAGTTAGACGGCCCTAAAAATCGATTGCTGGGTTGGGAGGTCGTTGCGTCTAAGGCGGGATACGCTAGAAACCCGAGTCAATCCCCGAGCGAGAAAATTTGGGTGCGAAGACAGTTTTTCTTTGTATGACTCTTTTTGCTTCTGGATTTCGTCTTTCACTGCGAGGATGCCCAGATCCCGGTGGATGTTTTCGTTGCGAACATACCAAGGTGCCCCTGTGATAGTTCTCAGGATTTTTGATTGTGCGCGCTGTATGATGTCTATGTTGCTGCTGCTCGCGTTCCCCCACAGCTGGGAGCCATACGTCCAGATTGGCTTTAGGACTGAATTGTACAGTAGTAACTTGTAGTCTAGGCACAGTGGCGATCGTGAGTTTATGATCCAGTGGAGGCTGCTGGCTTTCAGTTTTAGATGCATCTTTTTGCATTCGATGTGCTTACGCCAGGTAAGTCGTCTATCAAGGTGAACGCCAAGGTACGTTACATCGTTAGCTTGAGGGATCGGCATACCGTTTAGTAAAAGCGGAGGGCATGTTTGTCTATTAAGAGTAAACGTTATATGTTTACACTTTTGTTCGTTTATTTTAATGCGCCAGTCGGACAGCCACCTTTCCACTATTGTGAGATGATTAGCCAGTTGGGTTGTTGCCTGCGTTGGGCATCTGGAGCGACTAAGAATAGCGGTATCATCGGCGAACGTTGACGTTGTTAGTTGTGCGCTCGTAGGAATATCCGCAGTATACAAAACATATAGACACGGCCCGAGTGCGCTTCCCTGTGGAACTCCAGCTTCGATGGTGTAGTCGCCCGAAGTAGCTGCGTTGCATCTCACTGAGAATACCCTATTGAAGAGGTATGATTCCAGTAGCTTGTGGGTGTATGTTGGCAAATACGTTTTAATTTTGTGCATGAGTCCGATGAGCCAAACTCGGTCGAAAGCTTGAGATACGTCGAGGAAAATAGCGCTGCAGTATTCTCGTTGTTCGAAGGCTGAGCGTATTTCGGATGTTAATCTGTTCACTTGTTCGATGGTTCCATGGTTTCTTCGAAAGCCAAATTGGTGTGCCGGGATGATATTGCAAGCTTCCAAATGTGGTATTATGCGAGTTAACAAGCATTTTTCAAACAGTTTAGACAAACAAGATAGAAGGCTTATTGGTCTGTATGATGACGGAATTGTGTGGTCTTTTCCAGGCTTCGGTATCATTATAATAATGGATTTCTTCCACTTTTTTGGGAAATAGCCAAGATTAATGATTCCATTAAATAGTTTGCAGACGACCTCTATAGCGCATTTTGGAAGTTCGATCAGCATCTTTGGGGTCAATAGGTCACCACCGGGAGCCTTTTTTGGTTTTAGCCCTCTTATGACTTTTTCGATTTCGTTCGGCCGGAATGGAGGTGCGGCTGGCTGAGGGGAGGACTCTGGCTGAATTACTGGCAGGAGGAATGAATTTGAGGCTGGGTTTGGCTGGAAGACACTTTGGAGATGTGTGCCGAATGTTTCAGCTCGGTCTTCGTTGCTGCGAGCCCAGCATCCCGAAGAGTTTCTTATCGGGGTGGTCGTTTCAATTGGGGCACTAAGATTTGGGTGGGCCCTCCACAGGGGGTACTTTGTGCTTGTTGGCGAGAGATTCTGAATGTACCTCAGCTGTGCATTTTCTTCCTGTTGGTGAAGAGCCTGGTCGAGTGATCGGGTTGCTTCCTTAAGGCGTTGTTTTGAAGCTGGTGATCTGCTGTTTTGCCAATCACGACGCGTGTGCCTCTTTTCTCGCACGAGCTGTTCGATTTGCTGATTAGATTTGAAGTGTTTGTTTCGGTCTACTTCTTTCCTATGAGGAGTAGAGATTTTAGCTGCCGCAACGAGTACTTCTTCCAGGGCGCTCGTAGTGTAGTCGATGTCCGATTCCATGTTAAAATCCGGGGCGAGTTCTATGTGGGCACTCACGTACTTTTTGTATTTTAGCCAGTTTGTTTTTGTCAGACTGAAGGGGTGTTCGGTTATTTCTGGGCTTTGAAGAAGCGTTAGAAGCACAGGCGAGTGGTCTGATGATAAGTCCGAGACTGCTTTGGCACTTATTGGATTGCGAGGTATGTTTTTTGTCACTGCAAAATCAATAAGGTCTGGGAGCTTTCGTGAGTCTGTTGGCCAGTATGTGGGACTTCCAGGGGAAACGTAGTCCAGTTTATTTTTCACATTTATAATTGCATTGTACAATTGTCTTCCTTTGGGAGTCACTAGACGTGATCCCCAGTGCGTATGTTTGGCGTTGTAGTCTCCTGCGGCTATAAATCGATCCCCAAGTGAATTGTAGAAGTCCATAAATTGTCCTTCCGAGATTGAGAAGCGAGGAGGGCAGTAAACGGCAGCAATTGAAAGGATTCCGTTGCTTGACTGAATTTGTATCGATGTGGCCTGCAAGAAGTTTGTTGCAAACCTTTTGTGAAAATGGTGTTTAATTCGTTCTCTGATTAGAACTCCAGTTCCGCCGTGGGCTTTCCCATCTGGATGATCTGTGCGGTAGATTGTGTAGCCTCTTATATGAAAGTTGTATTTGCTTGTAAGATGCGTTTCCACCAGTAGCATAACGTCAATATGGTTTTCGGTCAAGAATTGTGACAATTCTAGTTTATGCCGTGAGACACCATTGGCGTTCCACATTGATATTCGTAGCGCCTGCATAGATTATTTGGTCTGTTGTGCTACGAGCAGCTGTATCACCATGTTCTGGTTTTGAACAAGCGTTTGCATGGTCGTTTTCATGAATGACATAAGCTCCATCATACTTTGTTGGAGGGTAAGCATCATAGTTTCCGTTTTGCTGTGTGGCTGTTCTGGGGCCTGTTGAGCGCTTTGAGAGTTAGGCTGAATTGGAATTTCCCTTCCAGATCGTAGAGCATCGGCATAGGAGAAGCCGTTGGTGGTGTTTAGTGGACCGAATGAGGATCTCGCAGCTTTGGCGAAGAAGACGTCTGGCGTGGTTTTTGACGAAACGTACGCATTCTGTGGATTTTGGTTGCGCGTTGCGGTCGCTTGACGCATGCGACTCTTTAACTCCTTATACACAATACATCCTCTATAGTTTGCCGTATGGCTGCCTCCGCAGTTTCCACATTTCTTCACGGTACTGTCCTTGTTTGTAGTGCAGCAAGCGGACTTGTGGGCGTCCCCGCAGACTACACAGACAGCCCGAAGTGTGCAGTAAGACCTTGTGTGTCCATACTCTTGACAATTAGTGCATTGCACTGGACCGTTACGTTTATGTGGCTCTTCAACAGTGATTTTCCGATGCAAAAGATATTGCAGGTTGTAGATTGGGTGGACTTCGTTCTTCTTCAGCGACCTGCTTTCAGGCTCGAGCTCGACCTTGAAGAGGGGTTGTGGCTTTTTATCTTTATTTAGAATGTTAATAACATTCTTGGCGGCGAAGCCCTTTTCTTTAAGGGCGGTTTTTATTTCCTCGGCGGTAACATCAGGTTCTATTCCCTTTACTACCACTTGTAGGCCCTTACTGCTTTTCAGCTGGTACGTGTAATAGTTTTTCTGTACAGTGTCCAGATATTTTGACACTATTCGGAAGTGCTCTTCAGTCTTGGTTTGCACCTTTGTTTCATGGATGTTCCCTTTGATAAGCGGAACAACATGAAAGTTTTCACCGTTCCCGATTAACGACGCAATTTTGTTGACCAGGGCACTCGAGCTTGTGATCAGAGCGGGTGAGCAAGACCGTGCCCTTTGGGTTTCAGCGGTCAGTAAAGCCGGGTTGCTTTTAAGCGCCGATTTTTCCACTTCGGTATCGCGGGTTGAAAAGTAAGAGTAGAAGCCGTTTCTTTGGTTCACTGAACTTCTACGCTCGTTCTTTTGGTCGTTGCTCAATGAGCTCATTGCGTGGTACGTATTTTTTTTTTCAACAATGCACTAGTTTTGGTTTAGTACATTACAACTGTTATAAAAAAAAAAGCTTGTCTGTCGCTTTTAATAAATTGTATTTCAGTGTCTTTTCGCTTATATTGGCGAAAATATAAGCGAAGTGAAGTTTTCCCGGAGCTCGGACAAAGCACGTCCGCTCAGTTCGGTAGTTCGATTACGAATCCAATTACAATTTAACTAACTTTTAAGATTTAAAGCAGGGGTGCCCAAGCTCAGCATACGCCAGAACAAACTCCAATACCAATGCAAAAAATCACCAATACATTGGGGCAATAATTTTTTTTTTTTGCAAGTAATGGTATACTGAAAAAAATTATGGTACCATTTTCAATGGAAAACAAGTAATAAACAAAAAATATTAATGATAAAAAAAATTAAAACGTCTAATAAAATAATAAATAAAAGAAATTCATAGCTCTGATGTAAGCCATTTTGTTTAAGATTTCAACCAAAAGTGATTTTTTGCAGTGAAAAGTTTTCGGCAAAACAAAAACAAAGTGCCTTCGTATTAGTACGAAAAACAGAGAAACTATACACTTGTTGTTGTTTAACTCGGCTCATGTTCGCTCATGTCGCCTCTCCTTTGCACCGAGTGCAAATCATTAATCGGTAGGGTATGCAAAGCACAATTCACAGGCAGAACAACATAAACTTCAAACCAATCGGCAATTTAAGTGATTTACCCTGTTCCTTTCTCAGTATATTGATTTTAAATGATTCATAAAAATATTTGTATACAATATATTTTACTGCTAGCACCTAATCTTATTTCTAAATAAATTTAAAATGTATGCTGAAATATAAATTTACCTTCTGTCAAAAAAGTACCGGGACTGGATTAATTAAAACGCCTTTGCTAAACCGATTTCGGAAACTTTTTTTTTGTTATGTTGCTAGTATTGTTTTGCATTACTAAGTAAAGTTTGAGTGCGATCTGTGAAGTAGTTTGTTTACAGTCGCTGGTTACGTCAGTCTATGTTCTGATTGCTTGCCGAATTTCATACATACAAAGATCAATCCAAGCGCAGACCAACCTTCTTCATCGCGCTCCTTTCAGAGACTTAGAAACGTAAGATGAACGAGCGATGAGCGTAAGAAAGAGAGTAAGATCTCGCTCTGGGGCCTGCTGGGGCCAGTCGCAAGAAATGTTTGCGTCCATTTTCGTTGTATGAAATGGGCTGTCTATAGTGGTATTGAGTATTGAGCCACTGATCTGATATTGGTTGAACTTATTGGATGTCAAAAGAATTTACACTCATCTTTTTCAATCCAATTTCAAGCCTTCATCATAAGCATCAGTACAAGAAATTTTGTTAGCAACACAAAATTTAAGACAAATTCTTTGTTCAATATAGTTGTTCATTATGAAATTCGGCAAGCAATCAGAACATAGACTGACGTAACCAGCGACTGTAAACAAACTACTTCACAGATCACGCTCAAACTTTACTTAGTAATGCAGAACAGTGTTAGCAACATAACAAAAAAAAAATTTCTTAAATCGGTTTAGCACAGGCGTTTTAATTAATCCAGTCCCGGTACTTTTTTGACAGAAGGTAATATAATTTCTTTCGTCATTTCACTCAATAACGAATACCTGAATTTAGCATTTAGGGTAGCAAGCCTAAAAATTTTGAAAAATCCAAAATTTTGTGCGCTGGCTTTCAAACGAATTAGCACGCACACATACACCCGTGTATGTGAATCTGTGACACGCATACATACAAAGATCAATCCAAGCGCAGACCAACCTTCTTCATCGCGCTCCTTTCAGAGACTTAGAAACGTAAGATGAACGAGCGATGAGCGTAAGAAAGAGAGTAAGATCTCGCTCTGGGGCCTGCTGGGGCCAGTCGCAAGAAATGTTTGCGTCCATTTTCGTTGTATGAAATGGGCTGTCTATAGTGGTATTGAGTATTGAGCCACTGATCTGATATTGGTTGAACTTATTGGATGTCAAAAGAATTTACACTCATCTTTTTCAATCCAAAACAATGATTAACACTTATTTTAAATCGACAAATCTAAGCCTGATTGTTGAATAGGAAAATGGGGATACAAATGAACTTTAAGTGAACAGCGAGGGAACATTTTTGTTATATTCAAGACAAGTACTTCTACAAAAATTATTTAAACAATGTACATGAAGATTAGACTTTGATGGACAGCGATTTAGTGAAGTTCCAGTTGATTTTGACCTCAAAATTAGGAATTTGAGTAACATTAAACATTCAATTGAATACGACAAAGCAAAGCCTCAAATTCAAAAAATGGGAAATACGAAGGATATTTATTCTGGGCAGTTGAAATTTTATTTTTCCAGTGTTCTTTTAGTAAGAAATGCATGAAATTATCTGCCAAAAAAAATTAAGTCTTATGTTGTCCAGCCGAACAACAGTTTTGCTGGCGGAAGGGTGAGGTTCTGTTGGATTTTATGTTTAGACGGATTTGGAGACATGGTGCCAACACACTATTTATTTCATCATCAAATGCGTCTATATCTTGAATTATTATGCTTTTATTTGCGTTATCTGGTTCGTCTTTTAACAGGTTAACTAAATGATTGGGTGCACATAAAAATGTTCTTGCTTGTTATTATTTATATTATTATTTTATTATTATTTATTATTTGTTCTTGGCTATTTATTTATCCATAATTTATTTTTTTTTAATTTGCTCTACCACGATTTATTTTGATCTTTTTAAGGTACAAGTGGAACAAACATTACCGGAGCAACTGCTGCCCCTGCTGGAGGTGGCAGCAATACCAATAATACTGGAAACGGATGGGGGGATCCTCGGGACATTCGGCCTTTGACTGCAGGCGGCGCTAGTTCAATTGATATACGCAGTGTTGATCATCGGGGAGGCAATGTCTCTGGATCTAACGCTAGTGATCCTCGCGACATTCGAATGATTGATCCTCGTGATCCTATCCGAGGAGATCCCCGCGGAATTTCAGGACGTCTTAATGGAACTTCGGAGATGTGGGGCCATCACCCGCAAATAACTCACCAAATGCAAAACATGAACAAATTGGTCGGTCAAAGTGTAACATCGGCGGGAACCGGGGTTGGAGGTTCAACTGGTCCAGGAATTCCTGGAGGCTCTGCTCCCAATTCCGTTCCCGGTTCTACCAATATCCCAACGCAGTGGGGACCTTCTCAAGCGGTAGGCTCCAAAGATATATCTAAGCAGATAAGTGGATGGGAAGAGCCATCTCCCCCGCCACAGCGTCGGAGCATACCAAATTATGATGACGGCACTTCATTATGGGGACAGCAGCCTCGGGTCCCTTCTGCCAGCGGCCATTGGAAGGATATAAATGATTCAATCAATCGCGGCGCCCATTTGATACGAGGCCAAAACCAGTCGGTAGGCATTGGTATTGCAGGGGTTGGCAATAGCAATGTTCCAGGGGGCACCAATTCCAACAACCCCAACATAAACAGTGTTATTGGGACCCAAGCACGCATAGCATCGGTGGGGGGCGTACAACACAAGTCTGATGGTAGTGCCATGTGGGTACACTCTAACAATGTTAGTGGTAGAAATCCGGTGACTGGAGTTACATCCTGGGGAGAAGAGACCCACAACGTTAGCGTCGGTGCTGCTACTGCGGGTGCAGTACCAGTAAGTAATTGGGTTGACGAAAAGTCCAACACGTCTCTAGTACAGAACTCTTGGAGCGACGCTGGCTCTGTTGGAGTCAATTGGGGAGGAAAGCAAACAAAATTAGCAACAAATAACCCTGCAGCAGGATGGAGTACAACGGCAGGTGTGGTTGATAGCGGAGAACTAAGCTCTGACTGGAACACACACAGCGGTATTGTTGGAAAATCTCAACAGCAGCAAAAGCTGGCTGGTATCAATGTAGGAATGGTTCTTAATGCGGATATGATAAAGCAGAGCAAGCAGTATAGAATTCTGGTCGAGAATGGTTTCAAAAAAGAGGATGTAGAGCGAGCATTACTGAGTTCAAATATGAATATAGAAGAAGCTGCCGATATTTTGCGTACAAACTCTTCGTTGACAATGGACGGATGGCGTCGGCATGATGAGACTATTGGTTCCTATTCTGATCACTCTAACACAAGTAGTGGAGGATTTCCGGGCCGATATCCAGTCGGCAGTTCGCAACCATCAATGTCGTATCCTTCTGTAAGTTCAAATAAAAATAAATTATTTTCAAAGTTTAAATTATTTGTAATATATTGTTAAAAATTTATAAACAAAACCATTTGCACTATTAATTATAAATTTCATAAGCTTACTTCGAAGATAGAGTAAGTTAAAAAAAAACACCATTTTATGTGCATAGTTTTTTATAGTTTATATGCAGTAATAATTTCAAAACCTTTTTGAAAACACCCAGTTGGCCTAAACTTTGTGAATGACATCAAAAAGTTAGACGAAACTACCACGAAAAACAATAAACACACGACAATAAAACAAGAAAGGAAAGCTAATTTCGGGTGGAGCCGAAGTTGATATACCTTTGCAGTTACAACCGGATATATATCGCCAAAATCGGATATAGTTGGCCGATCCTAATGAGAATATCATAATATAAGCAATTTATTACAATACAAAATCTAAAAAAAAAGTCCGATATATATCCGGTCTTAACTGCAAGGGTATATCAACTTCGGCCCGCCCGAAGTAAGCTTTTCTTTCTTGTTTTATTATGACATTTTCAAGAGTGAGAGTGAAATTATTTAGGAAAAATTTTTAGGAGAAAAGAAGAAAAAAAAGACAAGTTCTTTAAAGCCCATTTACACTTCCTTAAAAAATATAAATCATGTTTATGATTTAAAATATATACTTTTTTTAGAATAACCTTATGAATAACATGGCTGGAGGGTCTGTTGCTGGAGGTGGTAATAATAATCCTAACATGACCGCTTTGCAAGTGCAAAAGTACTTAAATCAAGGTCCACATGGCGTAGCTGTTGGACCCCAAACAGTCGGAAATGCATCCGCCCTTTCAGTAGGATTTGGACAAAACGCTTCAAACACAGCAGTTGCAGCAGCAGCATCTGTAAATATTGCCTCTAATTCAAACAATCAACCATCGGGCCAACAAATAAGAATGCTTGGTCAGCAAATTCAGCTTGCTATACATAGTGGTTTTATTTCAAGTCAAATATTGACACAACCGTTAACACAAACTACTCTTAATCTCTTAAATCAACTTCTTAGCAATATAAAGGTAATTTAATAAACATAATCCATAAAAATGTAACTTGAATAAGAAATGTTGTTTTTAGCACCTTCAGGCAGCTCAACAGTCCCTTGCTAGGGGAGCAAATTCGAATCCTATGGCAGTAAATGTAGCAATATCTAAATACAAACAACAAATTCAGAATCTACAAAACCAAATAAATGCACAACAGTCTGTATATGTCAAACCGCAAAATATACCACCAACATCGCAGCAACAGCCACCACAACCACAGCAACATCAATCACACCTTAATAACTCTGCCAACGACTATCTAAGAGGTCACGATGCAATTAATAACCTTCAAAACAACTATCCTGAGCTTAATATAAATAAGGTAATATTATTAATTATAATTTGTAAAATGTAAATAAACTGTTAATATATAATTCAGCAGGGAAGTTTTCAAGGCACGTCCAATCAGCAATCTCGGTTAAATCAGTGGAAGCTTCCAGTATTAGACAAGGATATAAACGCAGAAAGTTCGGAATTTTCACGTGCTCCAGGGGCAACTAAACAAAACATTACGAGCAATGCCGGCAATATAGGCTCATTGGGGCTTCAAAACGATGGGTATGTAAAATTACTAATATACTTATTCACCTTCATGAAATGGAAGTCAAATGTGGTTTGCAATATTTGGTAGGGTATAAAGTAGTATTAACTTCGTCTCTGCCCGAAACTATCATTCCTTTTTTTTTTCCCCCTTTTTTATGCCATTGCAGGCATAAATATATATATCCATAACGGATCGGATACACCATAACTTTTCTGATAGTGCAAATAAACAAATAATTTTGAATAATGGAAAAAGAAACATTCGTTAACCATAAGTAGAGCTTTTAAGCTCTTCACATAGCGCCATAGATTTGACGTTTTGAGGCAAGCGTTTATTTCGTCTGCAGCCTTATTTGTCGGAAATCTTCAGACAGTAAAATCATTGACAGTAAAAACATCTTGAGTCATTGCGTAAAACTTTGAATTTCCGTGAAGTGCTTCTAATACACTTCTAATACCATTGTGCATTCGTTCCAAGTGATGATTTTTGATGCCGCTTAAACTTTGGCCATTTCTGAGTGTTGTGGGATATTACACGTTGGATCTTCAATAGTGTGAGGATTTAACGTTAATTTTAATTCTGAACAGTCCCGATCCGATCTCGCCCGAACAGTTGCTAAAACTAATGACATGACAGTATGATGATATGACAGTATAATGACAGTATCACCAGGGGCATCTAGGAAATATAAACCACCATTTTCATCATCGATTGCCTTCATTAAAGTATCATAAACTTCCTTTTGTTGCTAACTCAAACCCAAATTCGTTTGAACTACCTAATCTAATTGTTGGTGATCACATTCGCGTTCCCCTTCCAATTCTCGATTAAATGCGTCATTCATTTTACGATATGGCTCTAGCATTCCTAACCTGATTCCTTAATAAATATCTCTACATTCATCTCAATATCTTTGTTTCTGGAACTGACACGAATTTGATGTAAAATATCTTCTGACATATTATCCCTGAAAGGATAAAAGGAGGAAAGTATACGGAAAGTTTCTTATGTCCCTCTCCTGGCTCCAGGCTGTTCTGCCGTTCTTGAGTTATAAGTGGTGAAACTCTTTTATATATAGGGATAGATATATATATATATATATATTGATAAAGATATTGATTATATATATAGATATATTGATTTCATTTCTGCCTGACCGGAACACTTTAAGCTTTAAAAACTTTGTTATACGTTTCCGACAATTGTATTATTTGGAAATACATTTTTATACCCTTGCAGAGGGTATTATAATTTTGTCCAAAAGTGTGCAACGCAGTGAAGGAGACAACTCCGACCCTATAAAGTATATATATTCTTGATCAGGATCACCTCCTGAGTTGATATAAACATGTCCGTCTGTCTGTCCGTTTCTACCCGAACTAGTCTATGAGTTTTAAAGCTATCGTCTTGAAGCTTTGCACACACCCTTCTTTCCTTTGCACGCAGTATATAAGTCGGAACGGCTCAGATCGGCCGACTATATCCTATAGCTGCCATATAACTGATTGATCGGAAATGGTATAACTTTGGTGTTACGAAAAACATTACGAAATGCCAAATTTCATAAGGATCGGTCTACTATATCTTATAGCTGCCATATAATTGAACGATCGGAAATGACCCAACTTTCGTGTTTTTGAAGATAGAAAGCTGGAATTAAATACAAATTCTATTTTTGGTTGATCCAACCTACCAAATTTTATTAGGCCGGCTGTATCTCATATTCTATTTTTAGTTGATACAACCTACCAAATTTCATTAGGATCGGCCGGCTGTATCTTATAGCTGCCATATAACTGAACGATCGGAAATGGTAATTGGTAGAAATATCAACTTTTGTATTTTTGAAGATAGAAGCTTGGGACTATTTTTAGATTTTTTATTTTAATTAATTGGTTTTATTATGATGTAATCATAAGGATCGGCCAACTATATCCGATGCTTGCGATATATATCCGGTTTTAACTGCAAGGGTATATCAACTTCGGCTCCGCCCGAAGTTAGCTATCATTTGTCTCAAAGCTAAAAAAAAAAATATTTATTTATTTGTCTTTTTTACACTTTATCGCAGTACATGGTCGACAGGTCGAAGCATTGGTGACGGTTGGCCGGATACCTCATCTGATAACGAGAATAAAGACTGGTCAGTTGCTCCACAGACTGCAGCAGCAACTGTTTATACCGACATGGTTCAAGAGTTTGAGCCAGGAAAACCATGGAAGGTAAAACTGTACAATTGCATAAAGCCGAAACGTATCCAAGCAGAAGTTTATTTTAAGGGTTCTCAGATTAAGAGCATAGAAGACGATCCCAGCATTACTCCTGGAAGCGTTGCTAGGTCCCCTTTGTCCATTAATCCGACGCCAAAAGAAACTGACATATTTAATAATACTGGAAAAAATTCACCGACTGATTTACCGCCATTAAGTTTATCTTCGTCAACATGGAGTTTTAATCCAAACCAAAATTTTTCAAGGTATTTTAAAAATTGTAATGACAAAAAATATAAAAGCTTTTAAAATTTACGTTTATACGTGGGCAGTTGGTCTGACAGTAATCCGCAATGTAGCAATACTTCTGAGCTGTGGACAAGCCCTTTAAACAAGTCATCTCGTGGACCGCCACCAGGACTAACTGCAACTTCAAATAAATCGGGAAATGTTGGTACTACTTCAACATCAACAGCAATAGCTGGCGGTGCTAATGGTTGGTTACAAGCTCGAGGTGCAAGTGTTCAAGCCACAAATACCACTTGGAGTGGAGGTAATGCACCCTGGAGCTCTAGTTGGTTACTTTTAAAAAATCTAACTGCCCAGGTATGTTTTTCTTTAAGAAACTTTTTTACAATAATAGCATAAATTCATAGTGAAAACGAAAAAGAAAAACTGAATTCGGTAACAATAACAAAGGCCGTCAACAAAAAATCTCCACTCATAATTTCACCTGCTCCATAACCTTTAGGCTCCCTTAAACCATGGTCCAAAAAAATCGGTTTCTGTGAAACTGTGAGTGATGAAACCCGTTTGTTTTAGACCTAAAGGGGGTGCCTAAAGACTATAGAGCAGGTAAAATTATGCGTGAACGAAAAAACGTGAAAAAAAATTTGAAATTGTCTGGCTGTGTTACTATAAGCTTATAATTTTTTATAAAAAGGGTCCAACGCTGTGAATGAGACTTTTCCGACCCTATAAGTATATAAAGGGTGTTTTTTTTAGAGGTATAAAAATTAAAGTTTCAATCAAACAACGATGGATTATTCGATTGACATGATTTTTTTTGTATTTGAAAAATGTCTCGGAAAATACATTTTAATTATGATTTTTGGCATATGACCGTCACGGCTGGCTCGGATGTGGTCCAATCTTGACGTCCAGTCGGGAATAACTCTTTATAGCCCCACAGAATGTAGTCTAGCGGTGTTAAATCACAAGATCTTGGAGACAAATCCACAGGTCCAAAACGTGAAATTAGGCGGTCACCAAACGTGTTTTTTAATAAATAGATTTTGGAACGAGCTCTGTGGCATGTTCGCCGTGTTGTTGGAAGTACAGCTCCTGGAAATCATGGCTGTTCAATTCGGGAATGAAAAAGTTAGTAATCTTGGCTCTATACCAGTGGTCGGCACCCCAATACATTAATATGATTTTAACACATTAGTATTTTTTTTTTTTTTTTAATCGTTTATTAACAAAGAAAGACTTAAAACTAAGCTCTAATAAAAAGAAAAAGTGAAAAAAGTGTCTCCTAGGTGCCTGTTCCCTGCGGTAATGCCGCTAGGCCTTGCTTCGCAGGGCCAGGAAATTGGCGTGCTTATGCGCCCCACTACAGTTGGCCTAGGCTAGCCTAGCCTCCGCTCGGAGTCGCTCTAGCCTTCTCAGCTCCTTCATCATGTAGGCGGCGAAGCTGCTCAAGTCTGCCCAGAACTGGGCGTCCTCCAGCAACCTCCTTCCGATGACGTCTGCCGTCGCCACTTCCCCTAGGAGTCTCCGCCTGGGGATCGAAAAACGTGGGCAGTCCAGGACCACATGCTCCGCCGTCTCGTCAACCCCGCATTCAGGGCACCTTGGGTCATCATCGTGTCCGAATTTGAACAGGTAACTCCTAAAGCATCCGTGGCCGCTGAGAACCTGCGTGAGCCAGAAGTTCACTTCTCCGTGACTTCTCTGTAGCCAATTCTTGAGGTCGCACAGTGGTCGATTCGGTCTCGCTAGCCGCATTAAATTAATAACTTCTGAAATATTGGAGATATCTTCAATCGGTTTTTTATTTTCGGTTTGTTACTTAATTTTGCATTATGTGGAAAAAAATGAAATTTATAGTGTTTTTTTAAATTTTTTTTTTTTTATATTTAAAAAAAGACTTCTATTAAATTATTTGTATACTAAAGAAAAAGAGTAAGAAATAGAATTATAACTTATATGTATTATGCAAGAAGCAAATAAGAAACATATACATTGTATACAAAAATTTTATATACATCATACACAAAAAAAATTAAAATTCTGTGAACAGACGATGGCATGTCAAACCAAGGGTATTTATTAACAAAAATTTCGGCAGTTTCCATAGCGTACGATCTGAATGCATTGGTGTTTAAGTAATGTCCACAGGACAATGATCGCAGGACAATGCTAAATCGGAATATTAAAATTTGTTTACTCTTTTTATACGCGCAGCTAAATTTGCAAAAAATCTTCGTGCAGTGTTTCCATTGTTAGTACTTTCAGTACCGGCCGTACTTCCAGTTCTTATAATATCCCCGGTAAGCTCCTCGTCAGCATTCAGCTTAGACACAATTCTTGATGTATTTCCGTCCTTATATAGGCTGCTACTTGCAGCCAACAACAATACATCCGTCGAGACTTTCTCCGAAATGCCTGATAGTTTGTTGATTTGAGTTATTCTGTATCACTCTGAAATAGTTTTCTCTGGGCGTCCAACATTTCTAAATGATGATCTTTCCATCAACACCTGAGGCGTGTCTAGCCATTCTTTATTCCTTTTTTTAAAAGCTGCCTTATTTATATCGCATTTCTTCCACTAATGGACAAGCCCACTATTAAAACTACTATTTTTCAATTTTGCAAAACTCCTTTTCGTTACAATCATATTTGATTAGCTTCGCCGTGCCATACTAAGAAAAGTGCGCGCTTCGACACTGACATTCTTCATAAAAAGTGAAATAACTTGTAGATACGCAGGACTACGCACTTAATTTTTGATATTTCGGACAGATAATAATTCACACTTTAACAAATAATTGCAACCAGAGTGAATACAGGTGAATTTGTTAAGTTCTACTTTACGAAAGACTGGTGTGCGCTCTATTCCGCACATTGTTAATACACTCCAAATCCACTACAATTTATAAGTAACACATATACTGACACGTCACAAGCACAGATTTTCTATGTAGCACATACCTTAATAGTTGTTAAAAACCAAACTTGCACTAGAATAATCGTAAATTGCACTATTTATTCAAATATGCAACCAATAAGTAAAAGGGCGCCAAAATTGTAAATATCAACTGCTGAAACATATGTTGACTTTGACAGTTCACAGCTGATCATTAGCTTATTGATGAGCTTATAAAACATCAATTAGCATCTAATCAAGGTGTATACTATCGATAGGTAAACTTAAATTAACGTTTATTTAAATTTGCAAATCATAATTAAATGCCGCTAGCGAGGCCAAATCGACCACTGTGGGTGGTCTAGTTGGACTAGTTGGTGGGTCCATCGTCCCTTGGTCGACTCGTCCCACCTTTGTTGCCACTTCTGTATACTCGAAGCTCTCGAGATCTCTTTCAGCCGACGGCGTGTCGCTGCCGGAGTTAGCCCGTTCAGAGCTACTAGAGCCTGATATAGCTCTTTACGCTCCGCCGCGAGCAGGTCGAATGGCACCATGCCTGCTATGACGAGAGCTGCGTCGTCGGAGATCGAGCGGTAGCCCGAGCACACCCTTAAGGCGCACAGTCTATATGTGCTGGTCAGACCTTTGGTATACGACCTTGTTTTGGCTGCATCAGCCCACACGGGGGCTGCGTAGAGCATCGTTGCGCTGCAGACGGTCTGGAGAAGTAAACGACGTCCTTGCTTCGGTCCCCTACAGTTGAGGACGATCCTCCCTAATGCTCTGGCGACATTCGCCGCCTTGCGATTTGCTACTGCGAAGTGCTCCCTGAAGCTAAGCCTCGTGTCCAGCGTTACTCCAAGGTGGCTACCGCGATGTCGTCCGCGAATCCAACTAGGTGTGTACGTTCCGGGAGGTCGAGTCTGAGGACCCCGTCGTACATGACATTCCAAAGGGCTGGGCCTAAAACTGAGCCTTGAGGGACACCACAGGAGGCCGCATGCTCTCGGATGACTCCACTCGGCTGCTTCGGGAAGAGGTGCTCCACGATGGCTCTCATTGTTTCGGCATCTTTTGGAGCGATCGGCTTTGCCTGCTTCGCTTTCTTGACAACTGTCCGGTAGGCCGATCCTCACGGATCTTGCTCTGCAGCGTCGCACATCTCGAGAAAGCACTTAGTCTTTGCCTCCTTTATCAGCTTCTTCAGAATCTTCCTCTTTGCCGCGAAGTTCTCTCTTTTTTGTTCGAAGTCCGGCCTTCCTCTGGCTCTTTGGTGCAACCTTCTGGTTCGGAGGCACTCTCTGCGGGCATGGGCTATCTCCGGGGACCACCAGGGCACCGGTTCATGGTGCCTCGAATGCCCACGGCTACTCCTCATGCTGGCTCGGCAGGCCTGTAGAACCGCAGCCATGGTGTTGTGAACATCGCATTCGACGTCGCCTGAAGGATCTGGAATCCTTAGTTCCTGTGCGAATTTTAGCGGTTGTAATGTAGCCGGGTTGAATCTTGGTGGCTTCGCTGCTGTGGAAGCTTGCTCTCTATCCTCTATGTCGCAGACTATGTATTTGTGGTCGCTCGCAGTGTAGTCATCCCTGAGGGACCACGTAGTCCTCCGAAACAAACCACTGCTGCAGAAGGTAAGGTCCACGATTGAACCCGCCTTGCTGAACGTGTTTTGGGACCCGGTGTTCAGCAGGGCTACGTCAAGAGTCGCAAAGGTCTCTTGGAGGGTTCGACCCCTAGCGTTGGTGCGCGATGAGCCCCAGTCCTCCGCCCAGGCGTTGAAATCGCCAGCGATCACCACCTGGGATCTGTGCCTTGCGTCCTGGGCGATCTCGTCTAGTGTGTGGGTGAACTGCTGCAGTGTTAGGCGCGGGGGGAGGTAGCAGCTATAAAGCCAGAACGCGCCCACTTTGGCCCGGACGAAACCTACTCTGTGTTGTATACTTTCGGGTTGTCTGCCTGGCGCCCAAATAGCCGCTGTCTTGGAGGAGTCCAGGATGTAATTTTGCGTCTCGACTTTTTTGTACGGCTCACTTATTAGGGCTATATCTGCCCGCTTCTCTTTTAAAACCTGCTCGAGTAGGCTATGGGCTACTTCGCAGTGGTTTAGGTTGATCTGAATGATCCTCATACTCTGCTTTGTGTCGCTGCATCTAGTTTGCGGAGAGGGCATCTCTTGCTGCCAGCTACGTGGGCACGCTCTGCATTGTTTGCAGCTGCACAGAGGAAGCACTCAGCCGCGTTTGTGCAGGAAGCTACCTTGTGACCTGGCTTACCGCATCTAAAGCACCAGTTGCTTCTGTCGGTCCGCTCTTTGCAAAAAGCGGCGATGTGCCCGAAACTGAGGCATCTGAAGCAGCGACGCTGGGCCGAGCGCTCCCTGACCCTGCACATGGTCCATCCTATCCTAATCCTGCCTTCGGACAGGATCTTCGATGCCAGGCTCGGCTCCACTCCCAAAAAGGCTACCTGTGTTCCAGAGAAGCCAGGGCGAAGGGACTTCACACCTTGAGCGAAAACACATTAGTATTAGTAACGAGTATTAGCAGAATGTAGGCTGTGAGCATGACGTTTCACACAATTATACTGTGTGTGTGTGGCAGAGCTCGGGCAGAGAAATTTCCTACATAGGACCGTTCCGACCACTGCTGTATACCGCTCACCATCATAGTTTTTAAAGAAGTACGGACCAATGCTTCCACCGCCACCATAAAGCGCACCAAACAGTCAGTTTTTCTGGATGTAACGGTGTTTTGACATACACTTAAGGGTTAGTTAGCTTCACTCCAAATGCGTCAGTTATGTTTGTTGACGTAGCCATTCAACCAGAAGTGCGCTTCATCGCTAAAACAAATTCGCTTATGAATATCGGGAACAATGGCAATCTCCTTTTGGACTCATTCGACGAATCTACACCTTGCTTGATGAACGTTTGGCTTCAATTCTTGCACGAGTTGGAATTTATAATTATGCAAACCAAGATCCTTCCGCAAAATCTTCCATAAATGGAAGGGCGACGATTTTGTCGACGATGAAATGGACGTAGTGCGCGATACGTATTCCGCACACAACCATTATTTTCGAAATGAAATCGCACTATTTGGAAGCGTTGTTCAGGCGTAAGTCTATTCATGATGAATTGTCAAACCAAACTGAAAATCAATCACGGTCGCCATCTTGACCAAGAATGCTCACTTAAAGTTCTGTACCTCTTCTATATGTATAGAAGATGTCTTCTGTGCAGAAGTGCAGAAGTTACTGCTACCCAACATCGGGGGTGTGAGGCCGTTCGGTACGCGTCGATCTGCCGACCACACCTCTTGTGTGGATTTGCCCTCGGAGGCTATAAAATTACTTACTAACATTCCGAACTTAGTGTGACAATGTGATAGCTACGTCATTGGAAATGATTCGCATTCCAAAATCGATGAGGTAAATCATAAGGTTCTGGATCTGAAATCCCTTTTCGAAAGTCTTAAAACCAAAGTGGATTATGCCTTGGTAAATGAGGTCTCTTTGGCTGAGGTGCATGTTGTTGCTCCCCCTTCTATGCCTACCAGCACTGGGAGTAAAAAGGCTACACTGGGCCAGGCCTTACCGGTATCTAAGTTGGCTGTCCCGCTTCCCTACAGTCTTCAATGATGACTTTTGGCCTATGTCGGTAAAAGTCAGCCGGTTTGTGCATAGAGAGCTTGCTAAGGTTATTGACCTCTCGGCGTTTCTTCCTTTACCACAAACGCGATCTGGAAACGACCTGGCACGGGATTCGCCTTGCAACTGGACACCCGCTGGTCTACAGTTAAGTCTAATGGAAGGTTCTATGTGTCTTCGTCAGCTATCTTGCAAGCTATGCGTATTGGATATGCCTCCAAAACGCACCAGTACCATCGGGAATGAGGACGAAGTTCGCATGTTGGCGAACATGCTCGCCTGAGGATGGGCCCCTTAATACTAAATATCAAGCTCATACTGGAATGCTAGACGCAGGAAAGAATCAGATATAAATGCTCGGTGTACCTGTTGTCGTTGTTGGTCATTTGTTTTGCGTCTATTGACTGTGAAACGTCGTGGTTGGCGCTGTTATAATCTTCTGACTTCATTGCGTTCAGCTCGTGTATCTTCTGGCTCTTCTTGATGCAATTGCGCTATTCTAACACGGACATCAATATTTTGATGCTGGATTTGTTTTTAAGTTCTTTCGGATCTTCTATTTCGCATGTTTCGAGATCTACTTGTATCACGGCTCAAATCACCCCTCTTGCGTTTTCTTGGCATTGCTCTCTGTACAAAACACTCATAAATAGAATTAATGTATTTACTTAATGATGAAGGATTTTTGCCCCAGTTTAAATTAAGTTAAAATGCTATGGTAGCGTGAGTTTGTCAATGTGATGGGGTAGTAACTCACTTTATATGCGATTTTTGGTATGTCGAACAGGATTTAAGAGAATGAAAAATAGATGTTGGCGGATTCTCAGACCTACTCAATACGCTCACAAAATTTCATGAGAATCGGTATAGTCTATAGTCGGTATAGTATACGAAAATTTTATATGTAAGATAGCTCCCATAAACATCGGATTTGACTAAAATTCGTTTTATACCGTTTAAAGTGTGCAACGCAATGAAATAGACATCTGCCGCCCTCTAAAGTATCTAAAGATCAGGTTCACCTTCTAAGTTGATATGATCATAGGAGTCTTTTAAGAGAATCGATTTTCGATAAATTATATTTTTTATACGACTTAAATAATACGACTTACCCAATTTTAGAAGAATTGGCCGACTTTATCCTAAAGCTGCCATATTTTTTTTTGTTGTAACATTTGAAAGTTTTATTTACAATCTGTCCTCAGTTAGGAACAATAATTAAGTTTTTTAAGTGAACCTTGACAATAGGAGTTTGATAAATACAAGCTATGAATCTAAAAAGTTAATTTAGTAAATCCAGTGGATGCTTCCTCTTGGGACTTCTGATGGTGGTGCTGCTGTCCAGCAAATTGGTGGCACATGTGTTGGGATGTCTTGTTAGTCTGTCCTTGTATTTAGCGGCGAATCTTCTAACTTCAGCGCTGACTGTAGGGATGCCAAGTTGAGCATGAATAGTCAAATTGTCATGGTAAGGATGAGCCCCAGATAGCGTCCTGAGAGCTCTGTTCTGTGCCAGCTGAATGACTTTCATATGGCTTGGACTCGCTGTACCCCAGTTGGATACCATACGTCCAAACATGCTTCACTATTGACTTATATATTAGTAGTTTTACCCTCAGCTTCAGGGTTGACTTTCGTCCAATCAACCAGTAAAGCCGCCGCAGCTTTTCCTGTACTTGCTTTCGTTTGCAAATAACAAAAATTGTTTTTAAAAATTTAAATATTTTTTTTTGTTTCGAATAAATTGAAAAAAAAATGGTGGCTGTGCAGCATTGCTTCGTAGGCCTTCAATATAAAAAAGTGACAAAATTGTAAACAAAAAAAAATAAGGAAAAAAAAGTCATACGTATGTCGATAGATACTGTGAATATTCAAAATCGATCGGTTAAGATTTGTTCGAGTTGGTTTCCGACAGTCTCAAAAACAGTGGTTTCGAGAAAAACGCGTTTAAAGTTTTAAGTACTGTGGGATATACCTGTGAGGCATCGCCTCAGAATAGAAAATTTTGTCACTTAGACACTTTTGCGGGACTTTATCTTCGGGTATGTTATTTTTAAGACCCTAAAGAATATTTAAGCAAACAATTTTTTTTTTAGATTTTTTAAAAATGTTACTTAGATGTCAAATACAAATAACCCCCTTTAATACAAATAACAAAAATTATGAATATAAACTAGTATTTTTTCGTAAAGCCTTTATTGGCTATAACAGCTTCACACCTACGTGGCATGGAGTCCACCAAGTCCTGGGAACGCTTGAGGGCAATCTGCGCTCACGCCTCCTGTACTAATTGCCAAAGATTTCTTTGCCACATATCGCTTGATGTCCCGCCATAAATTTTCAATCAGATTTAAATCCGGGAACTGTGCTGGCCACGACATTACATCAATGTTTTATTGACTAAACCAACTCTTAGCCAATTTTCTGGTATGTTTTGGGTCGTTATCATGCTGGAATGTCCATTTTAAGGGCATATCACACTGTACATAAGAAGGCATAACATTTTTAAGTATGCCCCCATAGACGTGTTGTTTTACCAAGAAATGGGATTTTTCGGTCCATTCGGAGCGCACTATTCTTCGGTCCTCAATATCGGTGGTTTTTCGCTTAAGGCTTCCACTAATACTTAATGGACTCCATTTTGGTAGAGCAATTTACCTTATCTTGGATTTCTTTATAGGTTTTTTCCTGCTTTCTAAACTGAACTATGAAGTTCCTCTTTTACTCTTAACAGCGACGTCCTCTACCCACTAAAATTAAAATTTTGTCATGGTTATTGTGTATTTTCATTTAAATTATATCTAACTTAGCTTAGAACTTAGAACTTAGCTTTCCTTTCTTGTTGAATATTAAATTTAATATTTAATGTATAAATGAGTTTACATAAAAATGTATTATACATATAAATGTGTTACACAAAACTTAAACAATATTCTAAAGCATTTCATTCTTCTGTATCATTGTAATTTTAGATTGACGGCTCTACCCTACGTACGTTGTGTATGCAACATGGTCCTCTTGTGAACTTTCATCTTTACTTAAGTCAAGGGATTGCCTTATGTAAATATACAACTCGGGAAGAGGCAAACAAAGCGCAAATGGCATTAAATAACTGTGTTCTTGCCAATACTACGATATATGCTGAATCTCCTAACGAAAATGAGGTACAGAATATTATGCAACATTTGCCCCAACAAACAGCTTTAGCCACCACAACTACAAGTTCCGCTGGTACTGTCGTAACATCATCTAACAGTGCAAGCAGTTCAGTACCCAGCAGCTTATCTGGAAACAGCAGCAATGGAAATGGAAATGGAAACAGCGGGGGCTGCATCAACAATAGCGGTTCTAGTGGAAGTGTGGGTATTAGCAATTCCAATGCTAATGTTGTAAGCTCAAATCTAGTAAATGCCAGTGGTTGCTCTGTTTCAAATCCTACCGGTGGGCCTTCTAATACTGGAACAGTTGGTTCGGTTGCCGCCAGTACCACGGCCAATGCAGCAAACGGTGGAACAGGTACTACCAGTAGTTCTGGCCCAAAGAGTAGTGCAAACAATGTTTCTTTATCTGTCAGTCAGGCTAGTGGCTCTAACAGTAACAGCTCTACTTGGCGTCAAGCAAGCCAAAACCCACCCCTTCAAAATCAGAGCCGGCCTTCGGGCAGAGAAGCTGATTATGATTATATATCTCAATTTGTTTGTTCCATTGTTGATGATTAATGATTAGCGACCAATTCCATTGGCTATTGACCATCGACTATCGCATTCTGTGACTCAAGACACTCACCCAAAAGCTTCAAATAATTGATACTAAGTATATGTATGAAAAGCAAGACCATGTGAAAAATATAAAAGTGGATCGACTGATAGAAGAATGGACTTAGATTTTTGTATGCCCGTAGATTTATTTTTCTTCGTCGTTCATAGAGCTAAACTTGTATCAGTAAGTTAAAATTTAACCCAGAAAGAAATATTCGATATATAGTTATATATTTATGTATATGTTGTCAATATTATTGAATTTTTGAATCGTTTGCCGCCTAAAAAAGGTATATTGTCGTATTTGAAAAAAGGGTTTTGACTTTAAAGTCTACCAATTAGTTATGGGAAATAATTCGAAATTGCATACATTCAAAACTTTCGAGTCTTAATAAATAAAATAAATATACCCAAATGAATGAAAATGTACCTTATGGACCATTTAAACTAGCAGAAATGGCAATAGAGTGCTGGTAGCATTCAGGGACAATGTGGTACGAAATAATTTAATTTTTATTCCTGTCAAAACTTGACATGCGGACAAATAAAGTATGTTAGATTTGCATATATGTATTTTAATTATGTACATATGTATAGATATGTCCTATTTTTCCGCTTATGCATGGAACTATTCGTGAGTGTTTTTTGTGTTTCCAATAAGGATAAATGCCTGTGTTATAATCATTATAGGAAGTTATAATCTTATTACGGTATTGCTTTCGTCAAAGCATTCCCACCGAAAATTTCGGTTATACATTAAATTAAAATAAAAAATATCAACGAAACTTTTGTCTTTCCATATTTAAATCTTATATTTGTGCGGGAATCAATACAAAAATATTTCTGTCTTCTTAAATTTCAAATTCACTTTATTATAAAGTGTTTTTAATTTTTTAAAGTAAAAAAGCTGAAAATCTTTAGTGGATAAATAATAAGAATTTAAAATACATTCGTAACTTAATGAAATAATTTACATTCAAACTAACATAACCCATTTCTTTATAAAAATAAGATGAAGTTTAGTTAACGTTTAGATGCTTTCGAAAAAAATAAAGGTATGCAAGAAATAAATGTTAAAATAAAACCTTAGAGAGATAGTTAGAGATATCGATAAAGAAAATCAAACTCTTGCTCCATCCAAAATTAGAAGGATGATACCCTAGCGAAAAAAGGTTAAGTGTGATAATCCATTAATTTTCATAGACGTGTCACTCTACCATTAGGCTAAACAAGCTTATAAACATAGAGGGTACACGTTTCAAGGCAAAATAAAATAGACGTGAGAGTAAACTTTTGTGATTTTAAGCGTTACTAACCCTTAAGAGCTCAAAATAACTTATTCAGCGTTTGAATAAGTCACTGGGTAGAGAAGTGGGCCAAAACTTCGTGATAGATATCAAAAATGTTACTTTTGATCCAAAAACGATAATAAAAAAAATCTCTAGTCGCTCAGTTTGTGGCAGTAATTGTTTCTTATTCGATAGCTTCAAAACGGATCGTTTGCGAGACTTTTATAATACATATCTCTAGCAAAAAGATTTTAATATCATTAAAACTAATTATATGTTGTAAGGACGACACAGGCCACGTAGGTGGTATATAGTAGGTATCTATGTCGTATTTTTTCATTAGAAAACTCGTATTTTTATATTGAATATAGTTGACTAGTAAAAGAATTAAAATCATATATAATAATATTTATATATCTTTTATATTATATTATAAGGTTGTCAACAAGTCTTGCAGTATTTTTATTGAATTTTTAATTGTTCATAAAATTGATAATAATGCAATTTAATTCAAATATGCGCCGTTTTGTTCGATGACGAGTTCTCAACGAGATGCCAATTTCATAATGCCCCTCTTATAGAAGGAGAAAAAACTCGGAGAATTTTTACAGGACTCTCTTGAGGCCAACTTTCGACTACCAAGCTCGTTCGCCATGAACAGAAATTAGTTGTAATCAATTGGTGCGAGATCCGGAATATACAGTGGATGCAAAAGAACCTCCCATCCGAGCTCCCGGAGCTTCTGGCGCGTCACCAAAGATGTGTGTGGCCTGGCGTTGTCCTGATGGAAGACAATTCGGCCTCTATTGATCAAAGATATCCTCTTTTGCATGAGTGCTGCATTCAAGCGGTCCAGTTATTGGCAGTACAGGTCCGAATTGAGCGTTTGCCACGGGGGAGATGCTCATAGTGGATGATTCCCTACGAATCCCACAAAAGACACAGAAGAATCTTTTTGGCCGTCAATCCAGTCTTGGCCACCGTCTGGGTAGCTTCACCGCTTTACGACCGCGACCGTTTACGCTTCAAGTTGTCGTGACCCACTTTTCATGGACAGTCACCATCCGCTTCAAAAACGGGTCGGTTTTGTTGCGATTTAGCAGTGATTCGCATGCGTCGTACGGTTAAAAATGTTTTTTTGCGTAAAGTCGTGTGGCACACATATATCGAGCTTCTTTTTGAATCCAAGCTTCTCCAAATGGCTTATAACGGTTTGATGACTCATGCCCAGCTCTTGCCGATGCTGCGGCTGCTACTATGCCGGTCTCTTTCGATCAATTCAGCGATTGTATCGCAATTTTCGACGGCAGGCCTTCCAAAGCGTGGCGCATCTTCGACCACCACTGCACCAGAGCGAAAACGTTGAAACCATCGTTGTGCAGTGGAAATGAAAACTGTATCTGGTCCATAAGCTGCACAAATTTTATTGGCAGCATGAGACGCATTTTTCCCTTTATTGTAGTAGTGCTGTAACTCACTGTAAGACAAAACAAAAAACAATAAAATAAACCCGTGTTAGAGCGCGAAAAACGAAAGAGCTGCCCAAAATAGTATATCTTGAACCGATGCGACGAATAAAACTAGAAGTACGCGCTTGCAAAGACACCGGAAATACCGCAAGACTTTTTTGACAACCTTATATTTTCTTTAAATACAAATCTAAAATCACGTCAAGATCTCAACCAGTTTTACGCGTCTCAAAAGTAATACAATATTACTTTACAGATGTAATATACAGATGTAGATGGTATGCAAAGGGTATTATAATTAAGTAAAATTAGGAAAACCATATTTGGCTACCTTATAGCAGAATATTTTTCTCCCCGAGCTCTGCCTCGCACACAGAGTACAAACGTAAGAATCGTCATGCTTGCAGCCTACTGTTATTCCTTTCTAATACTAATGCATTAAAATCCTCGATGTATTAAGTCCCGACAACAGCACTAAAGTTCAGACGCGCGGCAAAAAATGGCAAAAATGCACAATCTTCTGCTTCTTGAATTGTGTTTATCAACGGAAATATGTTTTTATATGAAAATTGGACAACAATTTTAGAAGTATCACATTCGACTTCTTGATTTAAGGGCCCAGGATAAGCAAAAAGGAAATATAAAAACAATTTTATATTAAACAATATTATTTTTCTTTTAAACAATTTTTCAAATTACAATTTTGTTTAATCAAGTCTGTTATTTTTTAAACATCTTAAATAAACCATTTATAGCAGGGATGCCCAGCCTCATTGCTCTCGGTACTCCTTTGTTTTTGGAATTGCTCTTTCATATGGGAAATGACATTTCATATACGTGTGTTGCTCCCAGCATAGGCAAAGGGTAATTACAATAACAATTTTTCGGGTTTTCTCTATTTTCCTCAATCGTGCTAATCCGAATGCATTTTGTTGTTGGAGTGTCGGAAACTTTTCACTGCAAGAAATTCATTCTCTTTTTTGTTTCTGCCAAATTGGTTGACCTAAAGCAATAAATTTATTCTTCGTAGAACATTTTTTTAAGTAAGAAGCTCCGCAACTTTTTTCATAGTATAATATTAAGCTGTTGTACAAAATGAAGGGTCTTTCTTTTAGTTGCTATAATAAAATTTATTTTTTTATTATATTGATTTTTTTTAACTCTTTTAATTTTTCAGTGCACCCACATGGATGGGAAAAAAAATTCTCGCACCAATGTAGTGATGGTATTGATACCATCATACCATTGAATTTATACATTGGTATTGAAATTTGTTCCGCCGTATGCTGAGCTTGGGCACCCCTGATTTATAGGCTTATCAAATGTTTGTTCTAAGAAAATGTTGTAGAAAAAAAAATTGTTTAAGTGTACGAATAAGTTACCACGATTATTATACATACCTTTGCAGAGGGTCAAAAGTGTGCAAAGAAGTGAATGAAACAACCCCGACCCTATAAAGAATATTTTTTCCTGATCAGGATCACCTCCTGAGTTGATATAAGCATGTCTGTTTGTCTGTCTGTTTATATACGAACTAGTCTCTCAGTTTTAGAGCTATTTAATTGAAATTTTGTGTACACCCTTCATTCCACAGCACGCAGTTTATAAGTCGGAAAGGCCGGGATCGGCCAACTTCATCTTATAGCTGCCAAGTAACTGATAAATCGGAAATGGTATTTTGTAAAAATACAACATTTTTGTAGAAAGAAGTTTGGGAATCTTTTTAAATTTTGTATTCTAATAATTGCATACCCTTTTTTATTATAAAACAAGAAAGGAAAGCTAACTTCGGGCGGAGCCGAAGTTTATATACCCTTGCAGTTAAAACCGGATATATATCGCAAACATCGGATATAGTTGGCCGATCCTTATAAGAATATGATAATATAACCCAATTTATTATAATACACAAACCAAACCTAAAAATGTCCCAAACTTCTATCTTCAAAAACACAAAAGTTGGGTCCTTTCCGATCGTTCAGTTATATGGGAGCTATAGGATATAGTCGGTTGATCCTAATGAAATTTGGTAGGTTGGATTAACTGACCAAAAATAGAATCTGTACTAAATTCCACCTTTCTATCTTCAAAAACACGAAAGTTGGGTCATTTCCGATCGTTCAGTTATATAGCAGCTATAGGATATAGTCGGCCGATCCTTATGAAATTTGGCATGTAATGTTTTGCCAAAAAATGTCAAATTTGAACTCTCTAACTTTAAAAACGTCAAAGTTATACCATTTCCGATCAATCAGTTATATGGCAGCTATAGGATATAGTCGGCCGATCCTGGCCGTTCCGACTTATATACTGCGTGCAAAAGAAAGAAGGGTGTGTGCAAAGTTTCAAGACGATAGCTTTAAAACTGAGAGACTAGTTCGCGTAGAAACGGACAGACAGACGGACATGCTCATATAAACTCAGGAGGTGATCCTGATCAAGAATATATATACTTTATAGGGTCGGAGATGTCTCCTCACTGCATTGCACACTTTTGGACAAAATTATAATACCCTCTGCAAGGGTATAATTATGAACGAAGTAAGAGAGACATCTCCGACCTTATAAAGTATATACAGCTGTTTTCAAAATAATAGGAGTGCTTTTGCATATGCACTTGTCCCTTCTGTAGCAATGTTATGCGTTCATTTTTTTCAATTTTATTTCTTTTTCCAAATTTGTTTATGGATACACATTCTGAGGTACCGTTATTTTTTCATTTTACTATATTCGTGTATATTCTTCATCTGTTTCTGCGCGAACTATTCTCCCAGTTTTAAAGCGATTGACTTATAGCTGCCATATAACTGATTGATCTGAAATCCCATATCTTTGGCGTTTTTAGAGTAAGAGAGTTAGGAGTTCTAAGAGAGAGTAAAAGAGTTGATAGTAAGTTGGGAGTAAGAGAGTTCTTTGAATTCTATATTGATAGTAAGTTGGGAGTAAGAGAGTTCTATGAATTCTATATTTGACACAAAAATACGACCCACCAAATTTTAGAAGGATCGGCCGACTATATCGTGTTCCTGCCATATAACTAACAATTCGGAAATGACCCTTTCGTGTTTTTAAAGATAAAAGGTTGTAACTTTCTACAGATTTTATTTTTCCACAATTAACAATTGCATTTTTTTAAATTTTGTATTCTAATAACACACTGCGACAGTGATTTGGAACTTTTGACAGACCTAGTAGGAATTGTTCATTAGGTCGAGTATAGTATAAAACCATGTTTGAAATTTTTCAAACACCCTCAAAATCTTGATTTATTTGAAAAAAACTTTTTTTCGGACTTTTGCTCTTAAAAATTCCTAAACGCATAATTTTAAACCGTAAAAGTGTGTAAAAGAAAGGAATAATGGAAATGGAACGGCACACTATTATTCCGGAACGCTAGCAAGATTGGACTGACTTGTTTTGGGAAAATCGTTATAACTTCACCAATTTTCATAATTTCCTAATAAAATTGGTCTTGTTTTATTCAGAATCAACGAGACAATGTTAATATGTGTCGAAAATGATACCATTTCTTGGAAGTTGTACCGAAAAAATGGGGTCAAAGTTCGAAAAACACGACAAAAATTTAAAAATGTCAGTTTCCTGCGTAAAAATTGTATCTTTTTTGTTGAAATAAATTAAAGATCTATTTTTTTTCAAAAACTCCAACATTTAACTATTGAAAAACAAAAAAAATTTTAAAATCGTTTTAAAATTACGCGTTTAGGAATTTTTAAGAGCAAAAAAGTCCCGAAAAACCGTTTTTTCCAAATAAATCAAGATTTTGAGGGTGTTTGAAAAATTTCAAACATGGTTTTATACCAGTGCACAGTGGTTGCGCCCGTAGGCCATAAATCGAAAAATCGACTTGAAAATAATAAGTCAAAATGTTAACATTTAGTCTCTAAATCAGGGGTGCTCAAATTCGTCTTATGGCAGTGCGTTTACTAACACAGACACAAGAAAACGTGTACATACATATGTAGCGGCGCTTTAGTGTTGGGGCGCAGCTGTGCACTGAGAGAAAAAAAACAGTTTTAAATATTTATTTATTTTTTTTTTTTATATTTGGCTTAAAAAAGATTTAATATTTATATTAATTTTAGTGGTTGATAATTTTAATTGAGCTTCCAGATTATTATTATTTAGTCCCACGAAATAAATCAAAAGCCAAAGCAGACAGAAGAATAAGTTCCAGTGCATGTGCTCGAGGAAAAAACAAAAACAAAATACACTGCGTTCAGCGAAGTGTGACGACGGATAGAGATGTAATGAAGAAACAAGCAAAATTGTTTTTGTTTCGCATGGTAATCGAAGCCCATATGCACGGTGCTTATGGGCGCACTAGCCATAAGCACAGAGCATCTACAAAAACAAAAGTGCACTCAGTGTATAGGCGTTAAGCACCCCTGCTCTAAATTGACCACATTTTTTCATTGCAACCTTGCTTTTTCCGGAAATCTAACGGGACTTTTTAAAAATAGAATGCAAAGTGTGAACACGTGTTCAATTTTGCTGCTGCAGCTACGTTAAAGAGCTTTTCGTCAAAACAAAAGTGAAGTTCAAAGTGGTCGGACGTTCGCAAAAATTCACTAAATTTAATTATTTAAAATGCATTTTAAAGTTGAAGGTATTAACTTTATTAAATTAGTTTTATTACATTTATCTGACTAATTAAATTTTATTTGTGTATTTTAGATCGAATAACCCTTTTTTGTCTATTTTGTGAACGTCTTTTTCATGTTTAGTTAAAGTTTTAGTTGTGATCCCACGAAATCCCACAAATAGTATGTATGTTAATGTGTTCGTCTAACTTTTGGGGTACTGTATGCCTAAAATCAGCTGCAGTCATTTGCAGTTGTTAATATAATCGGAAAAATACTGATGCCATCTAGCGTTTGCCAAGGGAAAGTTTTTCCTTATTGGGCTGTTGTTTTGTTCTCGTCGCTCGTGTTTGTAATGTTTTTTGAAATATTTTTAGTTATTCATTTCATTGAAATTCACTTTTTAGGAGATTCCCATAAGTGTGCATTTACACGACTATATATTTTTGATCTTTGGTGTGCAGAAGGTGGCACCAACGCTGAAAGATTAAAAAAAAAATGGTTGAATTTATGCAAGAGCAAATTGAAAACAACGGTTACATTCCCGAGCTAAGCCAACTACCAAAACGAATTGATTGCATATGCAAAAGAATTGCTACTTTTTGGGATAGATACAAACGGAAGAAAACTGCAATTATGCAATATCAATCAAGTTTGCTGAATAAAATAGAAACAATTGTGTTGACCTGTGGTCGTGAGTTGTCTCAACCAACACAATAACACAGTGTTAATCTTGGACAGCCGAAAATTGATTTTTAGATTGTTCGAATAGAGCAAAACGTCGAAGGATTGCTGAAATAGCGAAAACGGATCACTTGAAAACGGAGAATTTGATTAACTATTATGTTTTCTTTGTTTTTTATTTAATATATGTTTTTTTATTTTATTTAATATGGTTCCTAATTTGTTTACAAAAGTGTATTATTATTAAAGTATTTGAATATTACTTGAAACTCGTACTTATTTCTGTTTACAATTTTTGATATAGTTTTCCGATTTGGACTATATTTGGCAAGCATATATAAAACTGGTCCAAACATACAATTTGTAAGTTTGGTTTACATATCTTGAAAAACAAAAAAGTTTTTTCATACTATATACTTATTTCTATCCTATTGTTCCTATGGCAACTATATGATATAGTCATACGATATGGTCAATTTTTTTACTATGCATTTCAAATATTTTTTTAGAATTTTGGTGAAAATTTCGTTACAATATCTGAACTAGAAGTACTTATGGCCGCGGCTCAATACAAACCCAACCACTGTGCAGTGGTGGGCAAACTCTCATTTTACATAGAACGCGAAAATAGGGTAGGAAATTCTGCCGCAGCGCTGCCGGCACACTGACAGTGTGAGCACTCTCAAATTTTTTTTAGAAGCTCTCTCATTTGCTCTCATTTTGATTAATTTGACAGCCCAAATTAAAAATCAAAATTTTTCCACTGACGAAAATTTTCTCAGAAATTGGGTTGGAAAAAGTTTTCTTCATGGATAATATAGATAGGGAAGCGTAGTTTTTCATTTGTTTAAGAAATGTTGCTAGCAAAGCTTTTTTTAAAATAAAATACTCAATTTTAGTGCCCATTCCAACTTTTGAATTAACGAAAAATGAAAAAAAAAATACTTTTTTTTTCGCTCAGTGAATTCTTTGCTCTCATTGTTTTTCTCTGCTACGCACACACTCAAATTTTAAACATGTGTTAGTTTTGCCGCCCACTGTTTTATACTATACTCGACCTAATGAACAATTCCTACTAGGTCTCTTCAAAAGTTCCTCCAATTTTTCTTTTTTTGTCGCACTGTGTAATTTGTTTTTTCTGTAAGAAAAAGGAACTTTCATCATCACCGCCTTGCCGTCCAATTCCCAGTTCGGACTGTAGCTACTCGTCGTCCTCGGACCCTATTAAAAGCCTAAAAGTTCTATTCCAAAATATATCGGGAATGAGAACCCTGATGGTATTCCTCAATTCTTCTGCCTGCGATTTTGATGTAATCATCCTCGTGGAAACAAATTCAGCTCCTCTGAGTTCTTCGAGCCTAATTTGTACCATGTATTTCGAAAGGACCGAGATGCATTCAGTACCCAGTGTGGGCGCGGTGGAGGTGTGATCATCGCTATCCGTCGATCTCTTCAGGCTACACCAATGCGCCTTCCGGTGGCCGACCCTTTACTGGATCAGCTTGCGGTTTCAATCCAGGGCGTCCATGGCCCGTTCGTCATCAATGCATCATACATCCCTCCAAACAGCGCATTTAGTATATATCATGCGCATATGGAAAACATCACTAGTGTCTGTGCCAGAACGTCGGACCCTACCGCTTTGATGTAGTTGGCGATTTCAACCTGAGCTCCATTGTCTGTTCTTGGGACCCGGAATCTCCCTGCATGCTACCTAGCAACGTTCACCAGAGTCATGAAGTTGTAGTTTTAGATGATATTTTTAGTCTGGGCCTCTCGCAAGTAAATAATATTTTTAATGATTTATCCAAAATTCTTGATCTTATATTTTTAAATAATTTGGTTAATAGTAAAGTAGAATTATGCAATATACCATTAAGTCCTTGTGATATGCACCACAAGCCGTTGGTAATTAATATTGAGTTTTATAGTTTTTTGCCTTCTGCTTCCCCCATTCCATATTATCATCTGAATGATACTAACTTGTCACTTATTAATGCCTCTATTTCAGCCTTTGATTGGGTTTCCCTTTTTTCGGATGGCTCAATCGATGATTGTTATACTAAGTTCTTGGTTGCCCCTATTGATAAGTATCAATATTATTGATACTTATGCCCCTGTGAGGGTACGAAGATCCTATAGGCTTCCCTGGTATACAAAAGGTTTAAAAAACTTAAAGAATAGAAGGGATAAGCACTAAAAACGATTTATAACGACAGGTGAGACTCGAGCAGGAGAGCTGTACTGGCAATTTAAGCGGGAATTTGATTTCCTTAATAAGTTCCTCTACAATCAATATATATCCGATGTTGAAGCTAGCCTTCGATCCAATCCTAAACCTTTTTGGCGGTTTGTTAACAGCAAAAAGTCAAAATCGGACATACCTTCATCCATATGTTATGGTAATTTAGCAGCCGACTCGGATCAGGGCGTTTCTGATCTTTTTGCAAAATACTTTGCCTCTAACTTGGAGCCGAAGGTTCCTTGGAGTGATCAAGAAACTCTTCTTAGTATTGAGCCTTTTTTTAATGTGAGTAACATGGACGTTTTGGACGGCGACCTAGTTGAAGCCACTGGACATTTGACCGAGTCGCTCACACCTGACGTGGACGGTATCTCCCCATTCTTTCTTAAGAGGAGTATCGCTTCTCTTTCTACTCCCCTTCAACTGCTGTTCTCCTTTTCGCTCTCATCTGGTAGAAATTAGGTATTCATTCCTGCCTATTAAGTTGGTTCGAGTCTTACCTGGCTGACCGACCTTGCCACGTTACTGTTGGAGACGCTATCTGAAGTCCATTTGTCACCTCCTCTGGTCTTCCACAAGGCAGCTCTCTTGGACCTCTTCTATTTATCATTTTCATTAATGACATCTCGTCATGCTTTCGTCATTCGCACTTTTTAATGTACGCGGATGACCTTAAAATCTATAAAGCGATTAGCTGCATTAGTGACAGTTACTTGTTACAGGAGGATATATCCAGAGTTTACTCATGGTGCTCCCGCAATCTTCTACCATTAAACCTATCTAAGTGTATGTTTACCCGTTACAGTAGGCGGTCTCTTGAATTCTGTACGGGTTATTCCATCAGTAATTATAATTTAGCAGCTAAAGAAGAGGTGTTAGACCTTGGTGTCTTATTCGACAGCAAACTTAAATTTTCTGGTCACTTAGACTATATTCTACCAAGAGCGTATCCTATGCTGGGCTTTGTTAAGAGGCACGTGAACCAGTTCAAAAGTCCATACTCGAGCCTCAGCGTCTATGCTGCTTTTATTCGGTCGAGGCTGGAATATGCCTCAATCATTTGGAATCCGGATTGTAAAGTTCGTTCCAACAGAATTGAGCGACTCCAGAAAAAATTTTTAAAATTTGCACTTCTGCCTCTAAGGTTTCAGGATGCTGTTCCTTCATACCAGAGCCGTTGCCTTCTTCTGAATGTTTGCACGTTGGAGGATCGGCGTAAACTGGCCGCTTTAACTTTTTTGAATAATTTAATCGTTGATAACATTGATTGTCCTTTTTTATTGGGACTCATTAACTTTAATGTTCCTCAAAGGGATCTTCGTACCTTTGCCCCCTTTCGGGTCAAGTGTCATAGGGCCAATTATCTTTTAAATGAGCCGATTGAGCGGGCTCTTTCTTATTTTAATTCTTTGCCGCCTAGCCTCCGAATTGAGTGGGGCTCTGATAAGGGTGTGTTAAAACGCAAGTTAATCAGGCATTTATTAAGTTTTTGTTAATTTTGTAGTTTTATTTATTAGGTGTAAGTTGTTATTATGTAGCCATGTAAAGATTTGTTCGTTGGCGAAATAAATAAATAAAAAGAAAGGAAAGCTAACTTCGGGCGGAGCCGAAGTTGATATACCCTTGCAGTTAAAACCGGAATATAGAATAGAATCTGTACCAAGTTCCAGCTTTCTATCTTCAAAAACACGAAAGTTGGGTAATTTCCGATCGTTCAGTTATATGGCAGCTATAGGATATAGTCGGCCGATCCTTATGAAATTTGGTAGGTTGGATCAACTGGCCAAAAATAGAATCTGTATTAAATTTCAGCTTTCTATCTTCAAAAACACGAAAGTTGGGTCATTTCCGATCGTTCAGTTATATGGCAGCTATGGGATATAGTCGGCCGATCCTTATGAAATTTGGCATGTCGTAATGTTTTGCCAAAAATAGCACTCATGTCAAATTTGAACTCTCTAACTCTAAAAACACCAAAGTTATACCATTTCCGATCAATCAGTTATATGGCAGCTATAGGATATAGTCGGCCGATCCCGGCCGTTCCGACTTATATACTGCGTGCAAAGGAAAGAAGGGTGTGTGCAAAGTTTCAAGACGATAGCTTTAAAACTGAGAGACTAGTTCGCGTAGAAACAGACAGACAGACAGACAGAAAGACGGACAGACGGACATGCTCATATCAACTCAGGAGGTGATACTGATCAAGAATATATATTCTTTATAGGGTCGGAGATGTCTCCTTCATTGCGTTGCACACTTTTGGACAAAATTATAATACCCTCTGCAAGGGTATAAAAAGGGTGTGTTTCAAGCAGGGACCGTAATTATTATAATTTTTAAAATAAAAATTATTTGTTGATTTTTATGACAAAAATTGAAATGTAACACTTATTTTCATTTTTTATAATAATAATTAAGAATAAGAAATATTTTTCAATTTTTACAATAAAATTAAAAATAAAAATTATGATTCAATTTTTATTATAAAAATTGAAAATAAAAGTTGAATGCAAATAACTAAACCAAGTGGACTATGAAAAACCTTTAACATATTTATGATCTGTGGCGCGGTACCTTTCAAATGATGTATCGAATGTCCTTAAAGGATATAATACAGGATTCCTTAATAATTCAATAAGGGGTCGTTCAAGTATTACGTAACGCTCCTTAGGGGGGAAGGGGTCTGTTTTTTGTTACGTTACGCAATATTATTCTTTTTTTGAATTAACGAACACGCATCGGCATGATGTCTACATTTTTGAATTACGCGCGAGGAGATTCGATATATCGCCCATCGCAAACAATCGATTGCGGAAACTTTTCTCGTGCATTGCGAGATATTCACGTTTTGTAGGGGGTACAGACTTTGTCAAATCAAGTAACCTGAGTTAACCTGTGAATCTGTAACCTCGTGATAATGCAAGCAACTGGAGTCTATTATCAGCAATTGTTTGCTGTGCTTAAAAAAGCGTATCCAAACAAAACTCCCAAACAATGCCAAGAGGAAGTGAACGATTGGAAGATAAC